ATGGAGATACAGAGACAGTGACACAGATTATTTTTTGGGCTTTTTTGCCTTTCTTAGATAGGATAGTAGGAGATGGACAGGAAAGAGCAGAGAGAGAGGGCACAACATGCAGCAAAAGCCCCAGATCGGAATCAAAGCTTGTTGTTGTGAGAATTCAGCTGTTAGTACATGGGGCACACATCCTACCTACTGGGGCGCCTCCAATCGGAATTTTTTACAAGTCAAAATAACTGAAGGCTACTGTGGCCTATGGACTGTCAGAAAAAGCTAAAGCATGCACACAGACGCTGATTTGGCGCTGATACTTCCACTGCCGTTTTAAAGGCGAGACAACTCTGTCCCTCAGTTCTGTGACTGTACCTTTTATAAAGAACAACAAGGCAGAATAACGGAGCAAAATTCCCACCTTGAACAGGCAGTGTAAAAGGGGCTTCTCATGCACAGTGTGTGTGTTTGCAAACAGATTGGAAAGCATGGTTTCGCATTGCTTAAAGTTCTCTATAGTGATTTCTAGGCTGTAAAAACATATGCCTAAATTCTTTCTGAATGTGGACAGTTGATTGAGCAGCAGCTTCTTCCCATTTTAACTCTGTGTCCCATTATATCAGCTCCATTCCTCATTTCCATTCCTTACCACGATTAGTCACATTTTACATTTACATCTTGCAAACCTGTACCTTTGTGGCCTGTTATTGAAGGCTGACTTAACACTGTATTCATTGACACATTGAAGGTCAGACAGCCACAGCTGCAGTATAACACTGTTACCTCACCATTTCATTATTAATGCCATGATACAAAGAAAGATTACACATCACAGTGACTGAGCTCCAGTGCCAGAACTGCATAAAGTGTTTTGCATTAAAATGTTTTTTTCTGTAATGACAGGGATTCTATTTGTTCGGACTGTTATGTAGTGTATAGTACAGTAATTTTGACTTATTTTTTCATGGTATCATTAATATTTTTTTCCACAAGAATGAACCAGTACATGTCTCTACCTCTATAGTTCTGTTCTACACATAACAGAGGACTCACATCTTGAGCCTATAATTATGCCAGACCAGTCACCAGAAGAAAATATTTGCAATTTACATCTCTGCAAACCACAAATTCTCTACATTTGCATTTCCCAAATGTATCATACCAATATTTCTAAAGTGACTTGGTTTATGAGCTGACTTTGTCCGGGGAGGTGGAGGGGATGGTGGATAGCATGGCATCCAGACAAAACCCGCCAAGCTGCAGACCACTGCAGATCACTGTTCAAGACTAAAAAATTTTGGTGAGTCATTTTTAGCGTTTTTAGCTACATTTTAGGCACCATATGTGGGTATTATGTAGCAATCCGTCACCGAGTTTCCTGCAGGAATGCTGGCACAAAAAGTGGTTGTTTCTTACCAAGACATCACTGTTTCCAACTGCTTTTTAGGCACCAAATGTGGGTGTCTTTTAGGGACCCATGCCTGTTTTGCCAGCAGCTTTTTGGTCTCTGTAACTGTTTTGGAGGCCAAAAATTATACATATTTAAGGGTGGGGAAAAGGACTGTCTGCAGATAGTGTCCTCGGCTTCTTAGTCAGTCCACCCATAGCTCCTCTACTGCACCACTCCATTGTCCTAATATGATCACTTATGGCTCCAAAAAACCAAGATGGCGAAATATTCAAGGCTTCAAAAAGGCAGTCCACAAACATGGATGACGTCACAGTAGGCACATCCATTATTTATACAATCGATGGCTGTAACAGACAAAGCACTCTACAGTAATGCCTCTCATTTACCCATTCACTCACATGCCGTTGACGTCGGAACTGCCATGCAAGGTGCTGGCCCACCCATCAGGACCAACTTGGGGTTCATTGCCTAGCTCAGACACTTGAACATGGGGACAGGAGAAGCTGGTGATTGAAACACAAACCCTTTCTACCTGCTGAGCCACAGACAACCCAAGTCAGGGGGTCTTTTAGGGACAGTGTGGGTTGAGGACTCAAATGTTGTTGGTGGTGAAGGTGATGAATTCAGCCTTACCAGCAGTTCCATGAATCATGGGATTCGGCAGAAGAGAAATAGAACTGAGTGATTCATGCAACTCTGTTTCACAGTATGTTGTGTAATGACAGAGGTATTTTGCAGTGAAACCCCACATCACTATTTGTAGTAAAACTGTATTCAAGGGGACGTGTTGCTGTGGTCATCTCTAACCTCAGGCTCTGTGTGATAGTGCTCTTCTCTTTGCACACTTTGTTTAGCCCAGTGACATGGCTGTTAGCTGACATGGTTCAGTAGTAGTGGAGAGTCACCTTTACTGTTGGCTCTCAAAATACACTCAATTAATTACTGAATGACAGTTTTAACAAGGCTATTCTGTGCATGTACAGTATAATACATATATGTACATGTAAAAATAAATGGTCAGGTCTTAATCATACCCCAATCCATCATGACACAAAGTTTTAATGTTAAGTCTACACAAATGACAAAATGACATAAAAACTTTATGTTCACTTGACAACAAAAATTCATCCCTTGTGAGCCTGACATCATTTTTTGAGTTCTGAGTTAATTTGACTAAAATTTATAAACGCCAATTTTACATTATTAGTTTAAGACCAATAAACAACACTAACATTGTGCACGTAACATATTGTGTTGGGCTGGGGCTAAATGGGTGGAGTTTCTCACCATGAGACAATGTGTTTCAGGCCATAAGCCGAAGAAAACTGAGTTTAAATGTGTTCTAAATCACTCAAGTTACTTGTTAGGCAATAATTAATGTTTATGTATTTCACAATGGTCCCAATAGGTCACAGTTAACGTTGTAGTATAAGACATTTTGCACCATGAGTTAAGTCGTATACACAGTTAGTGACACCCTGCCTGTGTGTATAGTAGAATGTCTACCATAGAGTTGTGCTGAGGTGAAATAAAGTGCGCTTCCTTGTTCAGGATCCATCTCTTTGCCTTATTTTGTGATCAAGAAACCTAAGCTTACCACAATATCTTTTTGTAGTTAAATGAAATTAGAAAAAATGCGTACTCAATATTTTTATGTTCATATGATATAAAGTTAAATGCTCAAACAATAACAAAAAAAGTGTATGTAAACTTCCTGTTAGACCAGGGTGATGTGACATATTAATTTTGTGTCTGATGTACTCAAAACATTTATGTTACTGTGTTGTACTAAACTAAGAGTTTTGAGTGCAAGCTGTGTAATTTGAGTGACAGTGTACAAACTGACAATTTACATTAAAAGTAGAACTTTACAAAAATACAGCCATTACAACTGACCATTAATGAAGAATCTACAAAATGCATTTAAGAAATGGCAAATTTAAAGTTGAAATTAGTGTAAGTTAGAATTTTATAGACAATTTGAGTTGTATAATATTGTGTGTATTTGTGTGAATCTTGCCTTCACTAAATGGATTGACAGACCACTGGACCTAAATGCATTGTTTGCAAACTTTAAATTACATTTTACCAATTACTTATTAAAAAGTTTATGCTTTGCAGTTTGGATACATTTTTGTCAGTGACAAAAATGAGGCGTCTGCTAGGTTTTACCTCATAATGATAATTTCACTATGACAAGAATTTATGTGACTTGATGTTCACTACGATGGGTTACACCACTCAAGTTTTAATAGTTTACCAGTTTATTTTGACTGGAAAGCCCTCACTGTATGTTCTAAAAACAACAGCTTGTATACAAACTGTATACATGATGGAAATAGGCAAGAAGATGCACTGTAAGGTCTGGTCTGGTCTCAAGGCATGTTTTACAGAAGGAGAAGTATCCATAAGTTTATGTGTGCATACTTCCCAGCAGTACTTGGGCTGAGCTTTTCCCTTTTTCATCAGAACAACTGTTCTTGCCTCCAGAATAGAGGAACAGGACACATTCACATTTTTTTTTCTAAAGGCTCAGTATATGGGGTTTAGGGGGATATATTGTCAGATATGGAATATAATATAACAACTATGTTTAATCACCTGAAAATACGAATGGTTTTGTTTTTCGTTACCTTAAAATAAGCTGTTTATATCTACAAAGGGAGCAGGTCCATGGAGATTGCTGCGTTCACTGCCATGGTTCTACAGTAGCCCAGATCGGACAAATTAAGCACTTGTCATGAGCATTTTCACGGTGGCCACTGTAGTTAGAAGCCTCTCTGCGACAAGCAGTGTTGGAAAAACACTGACTTTTTTTAAGGTGACACTGTTTTATTCAGTGTTTTTACTGGTTTAAATCACTGAGTCCATTTGTTTTGGAGAGGAAGAGACCTCTGAGGATAACTCAGCTCTCAGTAAAAACCTCCTGAATGTCTGGATCTTAAGTTATCAGAGAAAAAAAGGTGAGCACACAGACAACCTGACAACTATGACATAAGAAAGACATAAAGTTTAAAACACATGAACACATTGGTTGTTTGGATGAATGTGTGGCTAATTAGCCGAGCTGCAGATGACTTACCTATGACTAACCTTACCGACCCCATTGCATGCTATTGTGATGGGCACTAGTGCACGCTTGTTATACGGTGCACACACACACACACACACACACACACACACCACTAGCAACTGTTTATAAAAATGCCAGAGAAATCAAATTTAGGGAGCTTTGCTACTTTTTTGTTTGTTACGTTTGTCTCTCTCTTGTCCTTTCTTACCATCGCTTTTATATTTAAAGGGCATGACTGCTCGCTGAAACCTCAAGAAGAGCAACTGTGGAGGGATCCCTCTTCCAGGACGGACAGACGTGCAATAGATGTCGTACAGAACAGATCAACATGATAAATTAACAGTAAACTGTATGACACAATGAGACAGAGAGAGAGAGAGAGAGAGACAGAGACAGAGAGAGATGCAGGACAGACGGTAATGACAGTAGCTTACAACAACATTAATGAAAGTAATGATATTATAATTCTAATTACAGCTATTGTGATACAATATGTTGAAAGTATATTAATATCTGATAGTATACATACAACATACAACAAACTTGTACATTTATAGTTTATTCAGATTTTTTGTAGTTTATGTAGAACAAGTGTTCAATTTTGTTATAGATTGCTACTGATTATTTTACCAAGAAAAGAAAAGAAAGGAAAACAAAAAGAAAAGAGAATCCTGACAGAAATTGGTTTGCATTGTATAGCAAATGGCACTATTTTTAATTTAATGTAATTTTCTTTTTAAAAAAAAACAAAAAAAAAACACAGGTGTAGTTCTGCGGTGGCAATCTGGGTCATTCGCAACTGCACTGCTTGTACTGTCTACATTTACGCCCCTGCTGTTCACTAGCTGATGCACAGAATGTATTTTAACTACGAATGTAGAATAACACTGTGAGAAGATAACCATTCATAACCATACATTTGAAATTAATACATTTATTGTGTCTATATTACACCAGTTGAGCAACAGCTTCTGCTCAGGTGAAGCATCATTACATGGACAAATAATGTAGGTTTGTTTATGATTATAATTACATGTAAATGATCATTCAGGACAGCACTGCATGTGGTAGCATAGCATTATTTTAAGGAAGAGATAGGGGACATTTTGAGCATTGAGGGGAATGTGTCTTTTCCAATATATATTAAAACTACTATTATACAAACTTGCTGTAGTTGTTTTAGTAGCAGTGTTTGTTTAGTCAGTTTACAATTGTGGAGATAAGGGTTTTATTGTGAAGAGCCGGATGTCCTGTTATTGTTGCTTCTGGTGGATCACAGGCAGCAGCAGAGCTCGCAGATGCTTCAGCATCCCTGCCTCCCTGCCTGAAAGAGACACCACAGCCACATGACATAACAGACGGAGGAATGGTAAATATAGATTTTGCTGTAGCTGTACATACAATGAACTTGAATTTTATCATAGCGTGCCTGTGACATCTGTTGGGTTAGCCTGACATTGCTCTGAAACATGTCTGCTTTTTTTGAAACATTTCACAGTGCTTGCTGTAGCCAGTCTAGCTGACAACATTGCTGTATTATGTAATGGATGAACCTCGGTGATGCTACAGCGGAGGCAGAGCCAGTCTCCATCTGCTAAGGGACCTACAACAAATACTTTAGAGTGATAAAACGTAAAATTCTGCCGGATGTGGTTATACTGAAAAGTGTTCTCACTCTTTCATAGACAGTATGTACATGTATATAGATGTATGTGTAAATGGGTGTAGCAGGTGGCTATAGTGCAGCTGGTTGTTTCAGTAGAGTGGGACAGAGAGATGCTGTTTTGTGTGAAGCCCTGTAGTCAGCATGTTACATAACTGAGCGGTTTGAGCCTGTGAGCTGTCCTCCTGCTGCTGATACAGTGAGATCACAGAGAACAGGCTCGATGAGGCCATGGGCCACAGCATTCATTTACACTATGATGTGTTTTCAATTGGATACAACGTCCAGCTCTGTTGAATACAAACCACAAAAGAGACGCTGCCTATTCAAACAATATACTTATGATAGTCACAACATTTTGACTCCGCTGACTGCAAACTGGTTTTCAGTCATATGCCAAATATTTCCTTGTAAAAACTGCTCAGATGTTAGGATTTGTAGCTTTATCTGGTTTGTACCAATTGAATATTTTTTAAACTCCATTGTCAGACAAAATGGATGATTTGTAGTGAAGTGCTATCCACCTTATTTTTCACGGAAACACGGAGGCAAAACAGAACGCAGCCAGCTTCCGTTTTTTTGTGCGACACTTCCGGTCCAGCACTCTTACCACTGTGTAAATGGGAATCGCCTTGTTGTTTACCTTGCTGAGTTTAGCTATATATATGTATATATCACATTTTTCACGTCACTATATCACCGTTTAGACTAATCTGATGTTTGTAAAGTCTATAAACACAATGACTGAACAAACATTAGTATTTTCTCTGTGTGTAATTAATAACATGGTTATCGTAGATTAGCTGGGCTAACCGTTAGCTGTTAGCCATTAGCCGTGTCTGTAATAACTCACTAAACTCACAAAGTAGCTCGTGAAAAAAATATTTTCTCCAGCGGATGTCTTAGTTACAACACGATTGAGCTAACTGGAGTAGTTTCATGTCGTATCCGACAACGGGAGGCTTTTAACAGATGACGATCCTGATGCTAGCTTTGCTGCTGCTGTTAACGTTAGCTGTCCCTGTCAGCTGCAGCCACTGATGCTTTCTAAACATCGTGATTTCCCAAAACTGAATAAATACCACACATAGCAACACAAAACTGCTTTGCTAGCTCAATCATGTTGTAACGGCTGGATGGTTGATGCGTACATGCTGATTCAGGTGCTATCAGAGCCGATCCGCGCATCACTATGGCTTAACGATCAACTCAGTCAATTAAAACAACCCCTCCTGTGTTAGGAGTGTATATCGCTGACAGAAAGAAAGAAAGAAAGAAAAGGAAAAAAAAGATAGAAAAGCAGCGTACACCTCACATATTTATTTCTCACAGTTGTACACACGTGTGGCTGGCATGCAGAAGCACCGTCTGTGTGTCTGTGTGTCGAGGGTGCGAGCCGCAGCTTCAGCTGCTCAGGTAGAGAGTCTGTGTAGCCCGGTGTGTTTTTTCGCTGATTCGGTTCTGCAGGTTCTCTGCTGGTACACTGTAGACGGGGATCAAGCACTTTGTCTCACTCGGGATAGATTGTGCTTTTTTGGTTCATAGTTTATGATTGACGTGCGATTTATTCGCGTTTAGAGGGAATAAATTTCCGTTATAACGGAAACGTGGGCACAGTTATCTAACGTTATACAAAATACACAGACTAACTAACTAACTGATTTACTAACATAAACAACTGAAAACTGAAAAAAAATTAGCTTGCACCATTAGCTCCGGTAAGGGAAAGCATGAGGTAAAGCGGCTGACTGGAAGTCAGGCACAAAAAAACGGAAGCTGATCACTATTTACTTCCATGTTTGAAAATAAGGTGGATAGAGATAAATCCTTCCATAATGTATATATTATGTTACAGTAGCTAAGTCATTATATAGATGTACGTCTGAAAAATAATTGAGAGTAAAAATTTGCTCTTAAACTTGGAAATATTACTTTGACAAAACAATCTTAACTCAAGGTCCACTTACAAGCTTTTTCCAAAGTGCAAGTGTCTGATCCAAAATGCATCTTGCAGTCTACATAGACTGCAGAAAATAATTAATTTAGTTATCGTGACATTTGGTTTGTGGACTCCCTATGTCAAAGCCTCAAGTTTTGCATGTCGCTGTCGCCATCTTTGGTTTTGGAGCCAGAAGTGACGCTAGTTGCCAGCTTGGCTAGCATGGGTCATTTACAGCAATGGATACCAGTAATAATACTAATGTTTTGCTGGCAAAAAACACACTTCAAACTATTAACACAAAATTTACCCACTAGAAAACCTGAACTTCTTATAGCATTTTTTTTAGCACAACTAAATGCTGAACAAGACACTGAAACCTGAATTGCATGTCATTTTCGTTTTGAAAAAGTTCTGCATTCAGACGACAGCATTTTGTAACTAAAGTAAAGTTTACCGTTTTTGGTTGAAATCATTGTTGTATGGGTAAGGAGTTAGCTCAGTTTTCATGGATCTGGTGTAATTGTCATCGTGGGTGATGCTTGGTGCTTTAGTTGACTGTATCCAATATGGTGGCTGATTCACAAACTTATTTTCTCATTTTACAGCTAATCAGTACACTAAAATATATTTCTGAAAACATCTGAGGTGACAAATAGGTAATGCAGTAACAGAATCTTGATTCATAGTGATCAGTGCTGCCCAGTTTGACAGTTTGACTGCAGTTCACGATCAGTTATTGACATGATTGACAGCTGCGTTAGAGACTCCTGGGTTCTGATTAGTTGCTTTTGGTGTGTCACAGTTGATCATAGCGAATGCCATTACAGGCAGTTGGAAGTGGAGGAGGGACATAAGTTTTTCACATACTATCTGTCTCATGGACTTCTTTCAGAATATGGTGACAGTTTTCAGCAAACATGACACACTGCAGGAAAAGCAGCAATGTCTCAGCAAAAAAAAACAAAAACAAAAAACAACCGTGTTTCATGCCTAAAAAGCCACTGGAAAAACAGCAATTACTACAAAACAACCAGGTTTGTTGAATATTGGACATGCACAGTGGTCTGCAGCTCAGCAGGCATCTAGCCAAGGTGTCACACCATCCGTCCCCTCCACCTTCAGACAAAAATGTCAGCTTATATACTATGTCACTACAGATATGCTGATATGTTTGAAATGTGCAAATGTAATGTATTTGTAGTTTGTAGAAACATACAATGGCATTATCTTCTTCTAGCGACTGGGCTGAATAAAAAAACCCATAGAAATATTTCAAACCAGTCCTGTACAATAATCCATTTCTCCGCTGTTGTTCTGTTTGTGCAGTATGTCAGCTTAGTCTGAAGTCTGACATTCACCAGCTGAACTTGTATTCAACACGAGTAGCTCTATAAGTATAGCATCAGTTCTTGTTGCATTAATCCCATATGATTCACCACAGTAGGCTACTGTTGTAATATTTGAAATGAGCAAGGACACACATGCAGAGAAGAGGGGTGTTCAACTCTTTCCAACTCTGTTCATCAGTGTCCTGGGAAAAACCCAGTCTTCAAAAACATGTTTGGCCCAGCACTGGTACAAGCCATCAAACGCTTTAGAAATACTAATGGAGATCCCGAGAAACCTTATGTATGCTATCATACTGAAGATTGGAAAAATGTGCATAAAATGATCCTCAAATGTTTTGGCCACCCATTCCATAAACAGAATTCCTTTAAAATGCCCAAAATTCTGAAACTAAGATGCAACATGTTAAAGTGTCTATTAGCACATTGCACATTGTGCTCTAAAATCTGTGTCCAGGAAACTTAAGTTTGTCTTAAACTTCACCAGATCTGTCCAGAGCATTAAATAAAATGTCAGAACAGTGAGTCAAAGCAGATACTTTTTCCTACTTTTGTACACAGAATGTCTTCTGTCAGACTTTTCACTTAATTAATTTTAACTTCCAGTTTTGACAGCATTACCATTTATCTTCTAACGCTGCCAGTTTTACAATTCAGTTTCCAGGTTTTTTAGCAATGCTTTACAATTTCAGCTGTCAGCATTTATACATATTTCTTGCAGGAAATGTATTTTCTTGGTAATCTTGTCGGAGTTCGTAAGCAGTCTATTCTTTACACATTCCAGCCTATTATAAACTATTCTTTGCACAAAAGTTTTTAGTGTTTGATGACACACAGCACTTTTTCTCTTTCACCAGGTTCCCAATGTTGAACATGTCCACCCCCAGCGAGCTGAAGTCTCCCTGCGTGACTCGCAACGGTATGGTGAAGTTGCCCCCCAGTCAGCCCAACGGTCTGGGAAGTGCGAGTATCACCAAGGGGACACCTGCTGCCAAGAACCGTCTGTGCCAGTCCTCCTCGGTACCCTCCATCCTGCCTCCTCCACCGTCCTCCCTTCCCTACCACCACCACCACCACCTGGACGGCTCTGGCATGCCCAACTCAGCAGCCTCTCTCCTCGGCTCTGACATGGAGCCTGGAAAGCCTCTGATGGGCTTGAAGCCATCCCTTCGCCAGCTTCCCCCTCTCACTCTACCCAAACCCATGCTGCTGGAACGCCAGCTCGTCCTGGATGAGAAGCTGCTCAACCGATTGCTCTGGTACTTCACCACAGCTGAAAAATGTGTGCTGGCGCAGGTATGCAAGACATGGCGTAAAGTGCTGTACCAGCCCAAGTTCTGGGAGGGTGTGACACCCATCCTGCATGCTAAGGAGCTATATACCCTGCTGCCCAACGGGGAGAAGGAGTTTGTCAGTCTGCAGGCCTTCGCCTTGCGTGGATTCCAGTCTTTCTGCTTAGTGGGCGTCTCAGACCTGGACATTTGTGAGTTCATCGACAACTACCCCCTGTCCAAGAAAGGTGTTCGCTCAGTCAGTCTCAAGAGGTCCACCATCACAGATGCTGGTTTGGAGGTGAGTCAGGATGTGTTTAAAAAAGAGAGGGGTTATTGAATGAGAATTATCCCTGATCTTAGAGATGATTCTAAATTGCATGTAGTGGATAGTTCAGGGTACCTGGGAGATTAGAGCATTCCTATAGTCCCTCACAGTCTCAGCTGCATTTTAGGCAACAAAGTAGTGGCACAGGTCTGCAGCAGTTGTGAGCAGCAGCCAATATATGGTTATTGTGGAAAGATCCACAAAATATTACTATAATTTCCCCTGCTTCATATTTATTATTTATTAATTATATTATATTTGATCTTATTTTAGTAAGAAGTCCTCCACCTTTTTAATTGTGATGGCATAGAAACTCATCACTTCCTTCCTTCTGTGCCATCACTTGTGAGATGGTAACTGAAGACACTTTCCAGTTAAACTAGTTACCTCTTAGTCTGTATATACGTGGATATATTTGGCCAGCACAGGTACCTGTTGTTTGCATTATAATAACACAGCAGTTTAAACAGCACTCTTTGAGACATTTAAAGAAACTATGATTTTTTTAATCTCTGCCTTTATGCTGTCATATTCCATCGCTAAGAACAAAAGAGGCATAATGCTTGTAGAGTGTTTCTCAGATGGCTCTTCATACCTGCTAGGCTAGGCTGCTATTCTTGGATGAGTGGATGGTTGCCATGGAGAAAGCTGGAATTGTTGGCTGCATGGTCTATATATGGACTTTCCTGTTGCGGGGCGCTGATTTGTACATTACCATTTTGATGCACTTTAAAAGGAGAACTCCATTTGAAAATAGAGTGGAAAGGGAAGTCAAAACCAAATGCAAAGAAAAAAAATGAAGGTCTTAGTTTAACAGCACAAGATTGTAGAGATTGTGTATCAATTTAAACTCAGCTCTGTATGATAAAACAGTATTTCATCCTGCCTCTTTTTGCAAAAAAAAAAAAAAAAAGAAAAAGAATGGTTATTACAGCTCATTTTTATTTCATACTGGAAGTTTTTATTTCAAAATATTTTTTCAAAATCTTTGTCTGTAAATTGTGTCAAACAGGCAAGAGCCAGTACTGTAACCATTTTTTTTGTTTTGTATATACATAAAGTACAGAACAGGGCTGCCTGCTAGCTCACCTGGTAGAGCAGGCTCCCCGTAAAAAGGCTGTGTCCTTGCTGCATGTCACTAGGTCACGATAGGAAATATGCAATAACATTTTTGGCGACATTACATATCAAACAAAATGCCAGAAACTGTGTCATATTAAGTTACTGTGAGCTGTAAATTCACCACTTGCAAGCAAAAGAGAGAAGATAATGTTATCTCAGAGCCTTACCTCCTGTGTGCTGCAGCTGTCTTTACCAAAAAGTTTTAAGAGTGCTCACTGCGCTGCAAAAATGGGGACCAAAACATCCCCAGGAATATACCACACAGCACACTGACTATACCAAAAATAAAAAAGAGAGAGAAAAAAAGACTGCTCAGCTTGAAGCAATCTCAGTCGACTGCAGGGTCTCTGACTAATGATTTGAACCTCTGACTTTCAAGGGCCAGCTCTACAAATTAATAACCAAAATCAGACTAAGGGGTAATAATATTTATGAACCTGATATTTATGTGTCAAGGCAGGTGACTACATGGTCAAGGTTGATATTATTATGCTCATGCCATTTTCTCCTAAATTGTTTCACAGTTTTACTCATCTCAAATAAAAAACTGTTTTCAAATAATCTAAAAAAAAAAAAAGCCAGGATGAACAAATATAGCCTGGCTTCTCATACAGGCTGGGAAAAAAATGTAAAACTTTATTCTATATTCCTCTATTTAGTGTTTATTATTTCTAAACAGTGTACAGATTTAATACAGGGTCTATAACACATAGTTGTAAGCAGTTAGGGACCGTTTTCATTAATGCACTGTATATACACTACTACAAAAATTGAGTAACACTGTGACACTAACTACCTTATTGGAAAATAATGTTTTTAATCATTAATTTTTGCCACTGTTTGTCATAGACTCAACACTACCAAACAAAAATCAAAGAAACTAACAAAAGACAAAACAAATCAAACAAAGCAGTGCTGTAATGAAGCTGTAATAAACTTTTTTATTATTAAAAAAAAAGCAGGATGAAGTAACATTTCATAATGCTGAGGGTTAGTACAGTGATACTAAGTTTTTAAATGTTTATTTGACAAGAATCTCATGGTTATATTACATATGTTGTGTCTTTATGTATCAGTAATATAGAATATTGTTTTCATGAGGCCCCTTTGTTTAATAATATTGAACACATTATTTCTGTAGTTCTGCAGCGCTTGTAGCTGATGTCTCTATATATTATTGTCTCAGGTGGACCATTTAGTGGAACTGGAAAGTAATTAATTTTGCTCGAAACTGAGGATGTTCAGGCAAACAAAGCTGTAAACATGTACTCTGCATCTGAAAGCAAATACTTTACATGTTCATAAGATCTTTGTTTACCAGGGACACCTGAGAAAACTAAAAATGTTACCCTTAGGCTCATTGTCTTAAAAGGCAAACAGTCAATGCCAACATAAGTGGGTTAGAAAGAATGTATACCTTTTCAAAGTTGCATGAGTCTTGGACACTTAACCTTGGGCCTTTATTAAATGTTGCGATCCTTTTTTTCATTAGTATTGTTGACAACTAATGCCAGAGAGCTGGTCCTGTATACCAACCTGTTCTCATTCCCATGTCGTCAGTACTGCAAGTATTACTTTACCCACTGACTGGCTCACACAGTTGTTAATCATGTTGTAAAATCCCCATTTTATAGCACTGAATAACTAATTAAAACCAAACTTATCAGAAACACACTTGAACATACAGCAGTGTAATAAAAACTACCTTAAATGATAGGAACCACCTTTGGTAAAAATTTATTAGATGTGTACTTTGAGTTTTTAGTTTGGCCTATTACCCATCTGCTAACATGGAAGGCTTCATGACGTATACTGCAGCCAGCCAGATCCAGATGTTTTGGCTTCACTTTTGAGGAACTGTCATGTTCAATATTTTTCAATTTTATTTATAAAGCCCAATATCACAAATCACAATTTGCCTCACAGGGCTTTACAGCATACGACATCCCTCTGTCCTTAGGACCCTCACAAGGGTTGACCATCTTTATATACAGTCTGTAGCTGAAACACATAGTAACACATGGGGGATGTTGTAAAACAATTGCAGTTGATTAATCGTGCAGTTCTGCTTGACTGTGGGGGTTGTGACACTCATAAAAATGTATCCACTGATTTAGAGACATCTCTTTCCCAAAGTAAGTCGATGGGAAGAAGTCTTTTTGGCCCCTATAACATCAAGTGACGGACTGAGAAGTTGTGGTTACAAGGTTTGGCCACTATGCCAAAGTGGCCTCGAAGTCCAGTGTACTTCCGGCGGGCTTGGTTAGGTTTCAAAAAGAGATTGTGATTTGGGTTAAAATAAGTATGTTTGTCATGTAACATGACGTAAAAACTTTTCGCTAGTGATGTCCAAATGAAGCTTAATGAACCAGTTGTATTTGCTGAACCCACTAGATGGCGCTCTTGGTGTAATGAGAAAGGCTCAAGGGATGGCAATGCAGTTTGGTTTCAACTAGCAATGGCAGACTAAGCTTCATGAACTATTTTCTTTATTTTGGGTCCACTCTGGCACTCTTTGTTCAACAAAGGGTTGAAACCAAACTGCATTGCCATCCCTTGAGCCTTTTTCATTACATCACTACTTTTCGCGAGTGATGTCAGTGCGCAGTGACTGTGTGTACAATGTGTGACATTACGTTAAAACAACATTGACCTTTAGTTTCACATGTGACAGGGCTGCAGTCTCCTGGATGAAAGTCTTGTTTTGTTCGACCCATCCACTTTTCCTCCCTTCTTCCTGCCCTACAAGGACTTCGTTGCTCTTTGTCAGTTGCCCTCAGCATCAGCTATTGCCGTGGATGGGTTTACATTGGAGTAAAAGACGCTAAAGGATGCCTTCGGCGTCGATATTGCATGCTGAGTATTGTGACAGAGTGTCAGTATTTGCCCTGAGAATGAGAGGGGGCTAAATATACACTCACCTTTTCACTGGTACTTGCACTGTATCTAATATAGCATCAAATTGTTTCCATCAGTGATTCATTCTGCTGGCGTTTTTGTCGCAGGTCATGTTGGAGCAAATGCAAGGCCTGATGCACCTTGAACTGTCGGGCTGTAACGACTTCACAGAGGCTGGCTTGTGGTCCAGTCTGAATGCCCGTCTAACTTCCCTCAGCGTCAGTGACTGCATCAATGTGGCCGATGACGCCATTGCTGCTATCTCACAGCTCCTACCCAACCTATCAGAGTTGAGCCTGCAGGCCTACCACGTCACTGACACGGCCATGGCTTATTTCACAGCCAAACAGGTGGGATGTCACAAGACAAACTCAGTAGCTCTGTACTATACCATTCACATCCACACACACCTTAATTCTCATTGAGGGTATCAAGTGATTTTGAGTTGACAGACAATTTTTTATCCCCGTAAAGTTCTTATCCCTAATAAGCATATTTATCCTTCCATGCATTAGCTATACCCACTTATCCTTGGTATTTTTTATCCCAGACCCCATTTTCCCATGTTTTTGTGTTGAAGTGACCAATTGGAACAAACATCTTTGAAACTGGTCCACTATTCACAACTGTGAAACAGGCTGCAATGAGATTCCTGCAGGCAATTGAGCACTGTCAGTTTACATCCACTAAATGTGCTTGTTTTTGCCACTAACAGGCTCACATTGTTGTTTGACAGCATTATGGAGAGGATCCTGCAGAGAAATTAAACATTTTTCTTTACCTCCCAATGGTCTGTTTGTTATTGTGACCAAGTCTCACTCAAGGTAAAGTCTCGTTCTGCAGTCTCAGGAGAGGTGATTTGTTACTGGAACAAAACAATTGAAATGTTAGCGAGAGTTGGAAGAAGAGTGCCTGGAAGAGTTTGTTGTGGTGGAGTACAGAAGGTGCAGCTGAATGTTATCTAATGTTGTTTTGTGTCATGGCTGAATATTTAGTTGATTTCAAAAATGTGGAAAAATCTTCAAGACTTTTCCTTTAGTGAGATTTGGTGAATAAACAGATTGGATCAGTGAAAGGTAAAAAGAACATTTCATTTCTCTATAGGAATCCTTTCCTAAATGTGGTCAGATGCTTCAAATAACAATCTGAGCCGGTCAGTGGCAAAAACAAGCACTTTAAATGGACATAAATTGACGTTGCACAATTTCCTGTAGGAATTACATCGCAGCCTGCTCACTGCTATGGCTGCAGTGTTCTCTCTCAATACTGGAACAGTTTCAAAAACTTTTAGTTTAATTACTGAGTATTAAAGGAAAGGTTAAAAAAAGTTTTATAGAATTAGTTTCATAAAAAATAATGTGAAATATATTTATTTCAATTTCAGGGATTATATGAAGAAGATTGTCTGGTGATATTTTGCTCAATTGATTCAAGTGAGGAATTAAATTAAATTAAATATATTGAGGGCCAAGTTAAATGAAAATGCATATAGTGGAAGGTGTCTGATTTTTGGTATTGAGACTGTATCCAGGAAAAGATTTTAACTGATTTATTTTGAGATTTTGAGAAACAGGTATGAAGGTTGTTGGTTTATAAATAAAAAATGGATGGTGCCACAGGTGCAGCATATCCAAAAGTTAGAGGTCAAAGAGAGCCACGCAGGAGTAGATTTTTGTTCAGAGTGGAGTTACACTTAAAGGCCCATGACAGACTCATCCTCAATAATAATGAAGCCGCCTCAGGTTGTTATCAATTTCCTTTTATTCACTTACATAATCAATCTAAGATTACCTTCCACCCACAGGGTTACACCACCCACACTCTGCGGCTTCACTCCTGCTGGGAGATCACCAATCATGGTGTGGTCAACATGGTGCACAGCCTTCCCAACCTGACTGCCCTCAGCCTCTCCGGCTGCTCCAAGATCACTGACGATGGTGTGGAGCTGGTTGCTGAGAACCTGCGTAAGCTCCGCAGCCTGGACTTGTCCTGGTGCCCTCGGATCACTGACATGGCCCTGGAGTACATAGCCTGTGACCTGCATAAACTGGAAGAACTGGTGCTGGACAGGTCAGTGATACTGTGCTTTCATCCCTGTGAAAACCTGATGTGCAGAGGTGGGCAGAGTAGCCAAAACTGTAGTCTTCAAAATAATTACTATGGGTAAGATGGTATTTTGGCCATTCTACACTCACTACTTTTAGGTTTCAATAATGTATACATCAGTGAATCTAGATATTTTACCAATCTTAGGCTGGATCCAAAGTGGATGAGGCTATTGACACGCAACCAAAAAAAATGCATCATAGTTCATCCACAGCAGTGTAACATTAAGTGCATGTATGTCTTAATTTGTGTAACCTATACAGTATAATGTAATCCAATACAACTCCTCTGCCAGAAAGTGTATTTTCATGATGCCCATAATGTTAGTTTGTTGTTTACAGTATCATAGAGGTGTTACATTAATGATATGTTTTAACACTGAGGTCATGGTTAGTGAAGGTGTTGCACTGGGCTGCATTAAAATTCAGCCAGTTCTCATTCCCAGGTCAACAAATACCTGCGCTTTGTTAAGCACCTTGGTATCTCATAGCGATGCACAGGGCACCCTTAGTGTCTCGATGTGACTCACAGCTGAAATACATTGTAACATGTGGCTCCTGCTGTGAAACAGGTGTAAGCAACAAAACTACCTGGTTAGGTGTAAAAAAAAAGATAATGTTTTGGGTCAAAGTTAGGACGTTTGTAACGTAACCTGATGTGGCATAAATACATCATGTGAGTGACGTAATTGTGTGATGTATGTAAATTACATAACATTACTTTAAAACAGCATTGACTTGGATTCATTAAGGACTTACGTAAGATACGCAATGTTACATTGAAACAACATTGACCTTTGGTTTTTATACAAGACTTGGGTATATAAGTCACGTAATGTTACTTTAAAGCAATGTTAACTTTTGGTTTCTCGTGTGACACAAACTGCATTCTCTCGGGTTGAAGTCCAGTTTTATTGGACCAATCCATATTTATTTGGTAGCAAAAGAAATGCAATGAACTGAAGCATGACCCTTGGTATACTGAAGTGACTAACTCATACAAAAAATGTACAGTAGATACACAGAGGACAATAATACACTAACACAGTCCATACAGAGACTTGTCATTATAACACATTGTGGTGCTGCAGATGGGAAGTGGTTGAAAATAAATCACAGAGCAGGGTGTGTTCCAGGGTAACGGAGCTCTGTAATGATGAAGATGACACTTCTGCTGAGCTCAGTTTAAAACAGTGGACTTGCTCATCAATTCTACTTGCAAATGTTGCCTCCTTTAGCAACAAGGCTGCAGGCTGGAAATGCAGGGAGAAATTAGACTAAGAATTTATATCCAAATGTTGTTGACAAATGTATTTTTTTAAATATAGTTTCTTTCCAAAAGCAGTTGATTTATTTGTTTATGTAGTAACAGCAGCAACTATTTATCAAAATACCTTTGCAGAATGATGACCCAGTGTTAGAGGGACCCTCCTCATTACTTTGATAATGACACTGATGGTAAAATTACATCAGCACTGCACGTTAACTTCAGCATTGTTGAAACATTAAGTTTCAATGTACTGTATCTGGCACATAATACCGTGCAAATAGAATATATCAGTGGTTTGCTGAAACATATAATGCTAACATTTTTTTGGCAACTGGGCTGACCCTAAGGAAACTATTAACAATACCCAGAGGGACTGACAGACATTGGAGGTTTTTTCACTGTATTTTCACCACATGGACGCTCTGTGTTTGTTTGTGTTATGATTTTATCAAACTATTTACTCATCTCTTTGTAAATCACTTTGATCAACACTTGTTGTTTTCAAATGTACTCTACAAATATTCTTGACTTGACTTACACAACTTAGTTACTTATCACAATATGAGTAACATAACCCAACTGGTATTGAACCTAAGTTTCTCGATGATGCAAATTATTTCATTTTCTTGCTAGAAAAGAAATAACATGGCTGGTGTCCTTTGAGGCACTTCAAAGTTTTTTAAATGTCATATGGCATCTCACACCATGATCTCATTACTAGCAGATCACTGCAACAAAGACAGGAGTTCAAAGTCTGGAGTTTATTTGTTATCATATCCAACCCTGAGCATCTGCTGGTTTAATGTAAACTATTTAATCACATACAGTGGCATGCAAAAGTGTGGGCACTCCTGGTCAAAATTTTGTTTACTTTGAGTAGTTAAGTAAGTAGAAGATGAACTGATCTCCAAAAGGCATGAAGTTAAAGATGACACATTTCTTCAATATTCTAAACAACATTACTTTTTAATTTCAGTCTTTTACAGTTTCAAAATAATAAAAAAGGAAAAGGGCCTGAAGCAAAAGTTTGAGCACCCTGCATGGTCAGTTCTTAGTAGCACCTCCTGTGACAAGTATCACAACTTCTAAATACTTTTTGTAAGCAGCTAAAAGCCTTTCAATTCTTGTTTGGGGAACTTTCACCAATTCTTCCTGCAAAAGGCTTCTAGCTCTGTGAGATTCTCAGGCCGTCTTGCATGCACTGCTCTTTTGAGGTCTATCCACAGATTTTTAATGATACTTAGATTGGGGGACTGTGAGAGCCATGGCAAAACCTTCAGCTTGCTCCTCTTGAGGTAGTCCATTGTGGATTTCGAGGTGTGTTTAAGACCATTGTCCTGTTGTAGAAGCCATCCTCTCTTCATTTTCAGCTTTTTTTTTTTTACAGATGGTGTGATGTTTGCCTCCAGATTTTGCTGGAATTTAACTGAATCCATTCTTCTCTCTACCTGTGAAATGTTTCCAATGCCACTGGCTGCAGCACAAGCCCAAAGCATGATCAGCCCACCTCTGTGTTTGACAGTTGGACAGGTGTCTGTTTTATGAAATTCTGCACCCTTTTTTCTCCTAACATAACTTTGAGTCATTGCATCCAAAAAGTTATATTTTAACTTCATCAGTCCACAGGACTTGTTTCCAAAAGCTTCAGGCTTGTTTTGGTGTTCCTTTGCAAACTTCTGATTCTAAATTTTGTGGCGAGGACACAGGGAAGGTTGTCTTCTGTTGACTCTTCCATGAAGGTCATATTTGAGCAGGTGTCATTGCACAGTAGAACAGTGCACCACCACTCCAGAGTCTGATAAATCTTCCTGCAGGTCTTTTGCAGACAAATAAGGGTTTTGATTTGCCTTTCTAACAATCCTACAGGCAGCTCTCTCAGAAAGTTCAGACCTCAAATTGACCTCCACAGCTTCTGTTAACTGCCATTTCTTAATTACATTACGAACTGAGGATAGAGTTACCTGAAAACACTTCGCTATCTCCTTATAGTCCTTATGAAACTAATATGAGACTGTTTCTGCTGCCAAAGCAGAGATGAAAATTAAAGTGGTTCATGTGTGATGAGGTCTATCTGACTAAAATTGGGTATTTATAACCATGGGAGCTCATTAACAGTAAGTGGAGTATTTTTTCTAATAAAGGACAATAGAGGGTCTAGTTTTTATTTACAGCTATCTTTACAAATTCATCTTGTGTTATTCTGCTGCAGTGTTGGAATAAGAGGGTAAAAGCACAATCCCATCAGGAGTGAAAGAATATTAGTGTCTAAACTATTCATGTTTTTTAGAAGCTCTATCTTAAAACCAGAGTGTGAGCAGAATGCTTGGAACAGGAAAATGATTTGACCGATCTATACAAGTATTTACTGCAGTTTATAACTTGTCACTTTATATTAAAATCAGTGCTTATGTCCCTGTAGGAAATGGGTGGAATGATGACTCCATCTTTTGCCATGAGCTGGTTATTCAGTGGTTGGGCTGTTGGCAGGTCTTGATATGATCCTTTGAAGCAAGCTGGCTAGCAGCATAGGTTACCATGGTGATCTACCTTTGTCAAAAATGAGGCAGCTTGGTGATACTGGAAAACCTGAGTTAAACCCAAAGATAGCTAGCTGACTCACTAATCTGTCCTCATGGTACAGGCCCCCGGGCTGTGGCATTTAAACCATGCTCAGTTGCTGTTCAAGCACCCAGTCTGTGCCAAATATTTATTTCCCACACTGTTACACCATCAGTACCATCCTGAACAGGGTGTATCTGTGGGTTCATGTTGTTTTTTGCCTCATTTGGACCATGTCATTTGCAATTTGCATCAGAAATTTGGATTCATTAGACCTGTGGGCAAGGACTCTCTCTGTCACTGTAGCCTCAGTTCCATGTGCTTAGCTGACCTCTGTGATCTACTATGTACACAGTTATGTGCGTATGTGGTTATTTGAGTTACTGTCCCCTTCCTGTCCATTCTCTTCTGACCTCTCACTATTCTTTGTAAACTTAAAAGATTCTTGTGCGCCATCAAGCACCATCAATTATTCTGTGATTCCATAGATCTGATTCATTTAGTGTGATGGCCCTGTTTATACCTGCTATTATCATGCCTTTTTGGTGATCTGATCACAAGTGGACACCCCAAATACAAGTGTAAACGACCACCAAGACACATTGTGATTCAGTCACTCAAACTACTTGCTGAGGTGGTCTCAGATGGATTTGACCACATATTTTTCGAAGCGTTAATGCTAATGCGTCCTGATGCGAAGACATGGTGGGTGTTTTGGTGACAGTGCACGAACACTATCTTATGCCCATTTTACTATGAGTTGGATGAAGTGTTGCTGCCTGACCACCTTTGTTTTGCCCTATGGAAAGAGACATGTTGGATTCTGCTGAAAGAGATATCTTCAGCTGTACTGACACAACTGCTAATGTGACTAGCAATGTGAGCTAGCAATGTGTGCTATGTGAGCAGCTAGCATGGATATATAAAGTGAAGTGGATACAGTGTTGGAGGTGGTGATGAAAGTTGCCCAGTGCTACGTGAAGCCAAAAAATTTCAACTTCCATGTGTAAATTTACCCGAATCTTCCACTCTGCTTCAGCATCGTTGGGCCCACAGAACAGGTGCGCAAGAGACTTCTCCAGCTATGCAGCTAACTTCCAGTTTAGCCCTCCACTAACTTGATGGTATTTGATTTTGTGGCCCCTCTAAACTTTAAAAATGTTATCAAACAGAATGGATCAAATTCTGGTATTCTGGTACTATTTTTGCAGTCTATGGACTCTACTCATCTCTGTCTGACAAGAGAGAAAGGCGTCTTTAAAAGTCTCTGTGTTCAGTTGTCAGTACTTCTAACTGGATCTTCTAACTGGAGTTTAGTTTCTCTCCTGCATCCCGTTTTTTTCTTTTAGGTATCTGCTGAAGCTGTGTGAAGTTGCTGCTTGAAAACTCAACATTTCCTATTTTACTGCTTCACAATAAAAGTTTTTACATACAAAATAACGGGACTTTTATTGTGAAGAATCTATAGGAAATTAAATTGGTTATTACTGACTTGGCGGAACTTAGTTAGTAGATTCTCTTCGATAAAGACAAGTGTAATGATACAGCAGGGAGGAAAGTGAAAGCAGAATCAGCCTCAGTGAGATGTTTGATGAAGAGCTGCAGACAGCAAGCTCTTACTGCACCTCTGCAAACAGCTCACCTCCAACAGGTAAACTTCTTATACCTGCCCTGCTGTGTGATGGAAAAACTAATGTAGCAAAAATAACATGGGACTTTGCACTCTACTTTTAAACGTCATCACTCAAGACAAGCCGTCATCAGTTTAAGACACACCCTCAAGAAGGTAGCCCTGTTGTAATGGAAATGCAAATCCCCGCTGTACTGGGCTGACGGCCCAAACCAAACCAAGCCAAGCTAGCACATGACTGTTGAAAAGGGGTATATGTTAAATTGTCTTCAAAGTCCAGCGCACTTCCTGGGGACTTGGCAGCTATCGAGTGTGGTCGTAATAACTGTCTAGTGTAATGCAGGCAGTAACAAAATTTGAAGAAGTGGTAAATGGACTTGCACTTGTAAAGTGCTTTCTCTAGTCTCCCGACCACTTAAAGCCCCTTTACACTACATGTCACATTCACCCATTCACACACTGGTTGCCGAGGCTACCATACATGGTGCCAGCTGCTACTCAGTAACCATTCACACACCGACGGAACAGCATTTTGTATCGGTTTAGTATCTTGCCTGAGGATACTTTAACATGCTGACTGAAGGAGCCGGGGATCAGACCACCAATCATCCGATTGGTGGATGACCCACTTCACCTCTGAGCCACAGCTGCCCAAGTGGTCAGCTGGAGACTTATGATAGACACAGGTGTGAATGGTGATGTGTCTCGGCTGTCCACCTTTGTTCAGATCACCAAAATGCATGTTAACACCAGGCTGTTGTATCACATTTCTTCCAGTCTCACGTGTGGTCCGAACAACTGAACCTTTGCATTTGTATTATTGAGAATGTTCACAGGTATACAGCAGATAATAAACCTGACCACTGAGTTTATACTGATAATGGCACATATGTTAGCCACTATACAAATGGCAATTACACCATATATTTGCAGCTATTAAAAGAGTGAGAGTATGTGAATGCAGTGTTTCGCATTGCATCAGTCAATAAGAAAGCTCATAGTTTACTCAGGTGTATTGTTGTGTACTATGTCTCCTTTCAGGTGTGTGCGGATCACAGACACTGGGTTGGGCTACTTGTCCACCATGTCATCATTAAGGAGCCTCTATCTGCGCTGGTGCTGTCAGGTAACACAAAACACACATGCACACACAAAGATTTAAGAGAGCATGAGAAGTGTTCACCATTTGTAAAAACCCTGCACTTGACATTTTTGCATTTTAGATGAACAGATGTTGCACTGTTTATCATGTGTCATCCAAGATTCCAGGCTGCAGAAACAATTAGGCAATGTAAAAAGACAATAGAGAAATACAAATATCCAACATCAGATTGGTATAGAGTGTGCTGAGTATATTCATGCTACTGACAGGATGGAGTTTGATGATCTCATGACCTCTCCTCTGGCACATCCTTAACCCCCTAGAGTCATAAGAGTCATAAGCTTTTTATTTGTGCTCCAACTTGTCGTAAGGCTCTAAGAATAGCAAAGTAGTCGGTATTGTAGCTGGTTCCAGCCAACTCTTATATTCTGGACTAAACACTGCAGCCTCTAGAGGGTTGTTACTGAGGATTCTGCATTTTTCAATGTTTTTGTCAATCCAAAAATGGCTTAAAGAACTATACCAGTGTGTGATTAGGGTTTAGTTTCATTTTTTTAAATTATAAAACATGTATTCTTAACATCTTTGCCGCTTGTTATTGCATGCAGGCTGTTTAGTTTCACATTTTCTATAATTTAAGACAGCCATTTTTCTATGGTTTGAAAATCCTGTCTTGTAAGTTGCGCCTGTTCTGCAATCCACTACAGTTAAGTTTCAGGATTGTTAGGTAATAGTTCAGTTTAAAGGAATACTTCGTCCACAAAATGATCATTTGTATATCAATGACTCACCCAGCGTTACCTTGAATTCATGAAAAAGTTTTTTCTGGCATGCCTCCACAATGAACAAAGAATCAGAAAACAAAGAAAATTTTCAACAAATTGAAGTCAAAGGGGTCAACGTTTAACAACAGCAAAACTATATCAAAACATCCATTCACAAACTCTCACACAACTCGTGCAGTATAATTCAAGTCTCATTTATACAGTCATGTGCTCAGTACTTCCCAAACACAATGCTTAATGCTCAATGGAAGGCATGAGAAGAGTTTGAAGGCGCACGCTTGCCCAGACACGATATTTTTATGCATACATTTTTAAAATAGTAAGTTTTGACATAAATGTGTGTTTGGGAAGTAATGCACAGTGTTCATTTTGAAAGCTTTTTTAGATTTAGTCTTAGTCTTGAGATGAAAATGCTTATTAGTTTTATCACATTTTAGTCATTTTTTTCCCTTCATAGTTGTAGTCCAGTTTTAGACATTGTGTTTTCTATAAGTTTTTTTTTTTTTTTTTTTTTAAATCTTTAAAATAATCCAGCTAGGCTAATTCATGTATCATAAATTAGAATCAAGGTGACAGGTTGTATAAAAATTTTATTTAGACAATTTTTTTCTACAATTACAAATAATTTCTACACACCTACAAACTGTTATTTCTCCAGCAGTTTTTGACAGGTTTAAGGGGTGATTTACTAGCACATACTTACTTACTCACTCACACACTGGTTCAAAATCTCTTTATTTATGCTCTCAAAAACTTTGACACCACCAATAACTCATCAGCGACAACTAGGATTTGTACCCAGGTTCATTGTAAACTGACTTATCTATCTTTCAATCCCAATAGTCCACTTCTGACATTTTTGTCACGTCTCGTCAACGAAAATGAAACATAGATTTCATCTCAGTTTTTGTTATCAAGATCTAATTTTTGCTCATCATTGTCTCGTTTTCGCCATGGATAAAAAGTTGCTGCTAAAAAAAAATATGTTGTCATAGTTTTTGTCAACGACACATTGAGAGGCTTTGGTCAGTCTTTTTCAATACACAAATTGAAGGAACTAACAGGACTACATTTCACTGGAATTGTATTTGACATGAGTTCATGGAACAAAATCATTGATTGACTGATATCAAGAATTTCCTCAATTTTTTGGATTATGAAGGAATGTGAAAAAAAAACAAAGTTAATGTATCGTGTTGGGTAATTGATATAGAAATGATCACTTTGTGGGTGAGGTATTCCTTTAAGCACTGAAAAGTCTGAACTGCATTATCTCATAACAATGTCACATTTACTAAAGTAAGTGCAGACATAATATTATAAAAGTTCAGAGTCTACTACAGTAATTGATTTTACAACATGCACACATTTGTTTACTAATGATGATCACTGCAAGAAAACAGCATCAACTTTGTTAGTGCTTTGATATAAAAGTGATACAAACAATTGCTCTTTCACTTGTCAGTCAAAGAGTCACAATGATTAGGGTTTTTATGGTACTCTTTAGTTCAAATACTGTGTGTGTGTGTGTGTGTGTGTGTGTGTGTGTGTGAAGGTGCAAGATTTTGGACTGCAGCATTTGTTTGGAATGAGGAGTCTTCGCCTGTTGTCTCTTGCAGGTATGATTTATGACTGAAAATACTCCCTGCTATTAAAATGTGACCTGACCTGTCTGTATTCTATCCACACTGAGACACGTTTTAAACATAATAACGATCCTTTAAAGCTTTGTTGTTCTTGCATGCATCATGTCAGGAATCAGTTCAGAAAGCACCCAAACGCAGAGCAGTAGGCAGGTTGAAGGTTTCAACAAAAAGCAAGCTTTAATGCTGGTAAAAAAGATGGTCCAAACAGGCAGGCAAAAAAACAAAGTCCAAAAGAATGAAGAACCAGAGCGAAAATGAAACAAACCAGAGAAGCACGATGAACACAGGGATGAACTCAGGGAAGAAATCCAAAATGGAACACTAGAGACTAGGCAGGAAATGTCACCATGAGAACGAGGATGAACACAGATAAACTGACAAGGAACACACAGGTCTATAAACACAGAAAACAAATCACAAGAACAAGACATACCTGGAGTAGCTGGACATGGGAAAAAGGAGGGAAATGGGGATTGGCTAATAATAAGGGTGTGGTGGGGAACACTAGGGTGGAGCAAATAAGATTAATACAGAATAAGTGTGAAGGGAAGACTAGAAGGGAAGTAGGAATGGGCGAAACGATTATAAATAAAATATAAAATATCAATTCTCTCGACATTACGTTTCCATTTTGAAGATCAATCCTAACATTCCTCAACATTCTCTCTTCCACATCATACCTATTTGTATTTCAAGAGTAAAACTGACTGAGCAAACAATGTTCCGTTGTCATGAATACATCTAGTAAATGCACTCTTTGCTTCTCCACTGCTTTTGTGTTGTCTGCACTCAGTCAACTTACTTGAGATCCAGCTGTGTTTTCTTAGTTTCACTTTCACCCGATGTTGGCAGTAGGAGGACAGTAAGCTCACCTCCCACCTCTGGGGTTTACTGCTGGGGGCTGATGCAGACCATCAGTTGTACAATGAATAGTACTGCATGACCCTAGCTCTCCGCGGACAATCAATGGAGATAGTTTGTAAGGGATGGATTAATGAAAGAGGAAAAAACACAAGAAAGAGAACTTGGAGATGCAACAGTAAAGGAGGGAGGAGGAGGGAAATGCCTCACCATCCAGACCACTGACACAGAGACAGAGTTCACTGGCAGAGTCTCTTTTGAGAGGCTCAGACAAGAAATATCCACATATATAATAGCCTAGTGGAATTAATATTTTAGTCAAATCAGATCTTTAGCATTGGGTAATGTTACATTTTCAGGCTGTAATTCAATTTCAATCAATCAATCAATCAATCAATTTTATTTATAAAGCCCAATATCACAAATCACAATTTGCCTCACAGGGCTTTACAGCATACAACATCCCTCTGTCCTTAGGACCCTCGCAGCGGATAAGGAAAAACTCCCCCCAAAAAAACCCTTTAACAGGGGGAAAAAAATGGTAGAAATGGTAATTGGTCACTTGCTGTTACTTAAGCAGATTGATTATTCACCTCATAAATCATGATATACTGCTTTACCCTGCATTAAAAAAGCCACATTTAATATAAAAAGTATCAGATTGGTATCAGTATTGATATTAGTGATTCTAGCCCTGTTTTACTTGGTATCAGATCAAAGCCAAATTTTGTGGTATTGCCCACCCCTACAGAGAAGGACTAACAAGAGTGATGAAAGACAGGAGTGACAGAAAACAGGTGAAAAAACACACCAGACACATGAGTAGAGAATCTACAAAATAAAACAGGAAAGGGATTACACATGAATGAATTACAGTACATGAAACAAGGAAGCGCACAAACAGAAAACCCCAAAACAAAGTCCACAAGGTAACAGAATATGAATAAAAACCAGAATCATGACACATTAGATGATGTGTAAAGAAGCAGGAACATACTGTATATGTATGGCAAAGGGAATCCAAATCTAATCAGAATAGTAAGAGTATGTAAAGTTTATATTTTGTGACTTTTTTTTATTTTTTTGTTTGTACAAATCATAGCTGGTCTATAAATGTGCTCCAAGCCACAATGTATCTGGATGAGATGAACACCAGCCCCTGTTCTGGAGCCTTATAGTGCCATCTAGTGCCTGCTTCATAGATTTAGAAATACAGGGCCTAGATAACCACATCAGTGGCCTTATTCACAAAGCTTCCTAGTACAAAGAGTTGCTCCTGGTGACGAAATTCTAAGAAAATTCTTGGACTTGTGACGATTGGTAATAAATAACAATAATCAATATGTATGTCTAATTGTAGGGGGTTCAATTAAAGTAGAGAAGCACTGTTAAAATAAAAATTAAACAATTATTTCTTTCCTTATATGGCCCAAAGTCGTTTGTAGTGTTAGTAGTTAACTACACACAAAAAAAGCAATCACTATGCAAATCTGAATGTAACGGAACTACCAGTAGGCCTAAGCTACTGCAAAATGTAATTACTACTAATTCAATTACATGTAGTTCAATACTTGTCATGTAGCATTTTGTTGGGAAAATTGAATTAAAACCCTGACCAAAAGGAAATGCAAATCGTTAGAGAAAGTGGATACACATTAGAGCTTAAAGTCAACTGCTGTGTCCCTCCAGGCTGCCCCCTGCTGACCACCACCGGTCTGTCAGGCCTCATCCAGCTGCAGGAACTGGAGGAGCTGGAGCTGACCAATTGCCCCGGAGCCACCGCAGAGCTCTTCAAATATTACTCCCAGCACCTGCCCCACTGCATGGTCATTGAGTAAGACCACTGACCCACCCCACTGACCGACCGACCGACCGCCATACTTCTACCTTCCTCCTCCTTACTCGTCCTCACTCCTTTCTCAAATGCTAACCGGGAGACTGAACTGCTCCTATCGTACCACCATTCCTCATTACCTCCTCTCCCCTCCCTTGCCCGTCTTCCTCCATACCCCATTGAGTAGACTGACCCACAGGCGGACAGAGAGGCAGGAAGGCAGATGATGGTACATGCCAGACCCAGAGGATGATGGGATGGCATTCGAGCTTCATTTCAGAAGATGCCAGAGCGAGGAGCTTGGTGTGACGTCTTGTCTGACAGCAAGTTTCTTTTTCAGAATCAACATAAGGTTTGACGAAGGAGAGCTTCTCTAAAGACTATGATGATTTTTTTTTAAGCTGAATGGATACTGAAGGGAGCGACGTGCACATATCCAGATGAAGCGTAGAGGAATTAGGAAAAGGGAAATAAAGACTTTTGTGTTTGAGCTGATACGGTGGAACTCACACATGCGCTCATACACTGTAAACACACTCACACACATACTGTATATGGTAAGTGAAACAAATGTAAGTCCTCAAGACCATGAGTACTGACGTTTCTATTTCCATCACTCTGTGTAATATAACTGCTGTTATTTTTTTTCTTAGAGGGTATCAAAGGTTCAGTTTCCTCTTGTTTAGAGAGAGACACCATATGCCAGCTGGAGAACTGGGAATCAGAGAGGACTAAAGATGCAGTTCAGGAAGCAGATGACAGGGACGGAACTTCTCTCTCTCTCTCTCTCTCTCTCTCTCTCTTTTTCTCTCTCTTCCTCTGCGTATGAAGTGTGCGTCATGAACTCACAGGTTCCCGTCTTTTTGGGATACCACCACCTTTTTCCATTTCTGTGTCTTATAAGAAAAACAAAAAAGGAGAATATTTGAAAAACAACAGTTTACATTTTTTTGTTTTGGAGTTGATTGGCTCATTATGTCACTCTTTTTCCCCTCTCTGCTTCATTTTTTGTACACATATTTAATTTACAGATCTGGAGGATAAGCTGTCGTAAACTGTGAATGTTGTGTTTTTAAAGGGGAAATGTGTTGCTGAGGCAGTGTAACATGAACAAGCAGTAAGTCAAATGGAAAGCAAAGCGTGCAGAAAGTATCTGACTTTAATGCTTGAGAGTGTCTGCTCAAATAATGAATAGGAAATAATGAATGAAAAAACAAGGCGACTGTGGGGCTTAAAGCAACAGTAACGACTTAGTATTTCAGGACTCAAACTAACAAATAACTTCAGTTAACGGGGAGATTTGCAAGCAGCTTTTCTGTTGGTGGGGTAGATTTACCCAAATTGGGCGGAAATCTGGTTTTGGAATTCTTCCTCTCTTCTTTCCATTTTTGAAATGCAGATAGAAACACATGGTGTTAAGTGTTTGAGTTGTGTGGTTCTGAAGCTGCTAGTGCATTGTGTGACCCCCTTTTCTAAGGAAGGTAAAAGGGGAGGCATTTCATTCAGTATTTAATATTAGAGCGCCGTGTCCACTACAGGCCAGGGACAGACATAAACAGGAGCTAAGGGTAGGCTAATGTGTCAGTTTTTGAAAGATCATTTAATTTGTGGGAATTTTACAAATTTTCCCACAAACCCAGAGTCAGTGAACCTAATAGATTGCCTTTTTATGTTTATGTTTGAAGTTAGCCTAGCTTAGCTCAACTAGCTGATGTCAATGGGATCATGTAACAGCTCTTTTAACACTGGGTTAACACTACAAGACATTTTTGTCCGTTCATACAGTCACTATGTCAGACTAGGCGATTGTGGAGTCATAAAATCTTGCCGTGACTTGGCCGACAGAAATCCCAGACTACACGTCTTTTCAAAATTACAAGAGACTTTTAATTTTGAACGGATACTGGAAGTGTTGAGTTTGAAATGACGGCGCAATGCATTAATTTTTCACAGGGCAAACGGGAACTGATTAAAAATGAAAAAAAAAAAAAAAATAGAAAAGGAGGAAATAATAAATAACGGCCCGTTTCTAATGTAGTCTATTTCAAATGAAGCTGGTAGCCTCTGCAGTTGTGGTGAGTAAAAGCCCTGCCACTTTTGTGAATTTTATTACTTATATCCTTATTTATTATGCTAAAGATCCTCTGCTGTTTTACGCTATTATTTTTCCGTTTCACTCTGTGTGGTAACGTCCCTCGAGGAAATATCTAAAAGGCTGGGATGTTGTTGTCGTCGTACAGTGGTCCACAGCAGCAGACCGTTTGTGTTCTATTGGTCAAAGTGACGGCTGTGACAGGACAAGTTGTGAAGGACAAAAAGAAAATCAAACATGCTAGACCTTCTGTCGGGACGGCATGAGGTATTTCAGACGTGGCATCGGTCATTGTCTACTATGACACACCACACGAGATGAAATGGTGGATTATTAGGTACAAAACTCATTGTTCACAATCACTGGGCTATAATTGCGCTGATATAGTGTAGTGTGAACCCAACCTAAGCAGTTGGCCCTACAATCGATGGCTGGTCAAACAGTGCTAAATGTTTGAATTCTAACTGACATTTCACAGCCGTCATTGAAATCATAATGTTTTTCAAATCACTGCAAACTGAGAGGTGAGTGTATTTGAATCTTAAAACTGAAAATTGCCTTTTAAAGGCAGACCAGCCTTTGGAAGTAAATAAAATGTGAGGAAAAACAAAAAATAAGCTAAACAATAAGCTGTCATTTAGGAGTTTGCTTTTGTTGCTTTTAAATCTGTTCACATTAAACATAATTGGCAGAAAAATAGGATTGGCACTGTACATTTCTGCAAACCACAGATACATTACATTGAATGTTGAAACTTTACATTTCAACAAAGCTGTGGTTAACATTTGGTTAAGTTTTGGCACAAAGGCACAGGGTTAAGTGTTAGGGGGTTAGGGTTTTTAGGAAAAGAAGTGATGTACTAATATTCCCACTGGAAAAACCCCATGTTTGGTGCCTAAAAAGCTGTTATTTGTTCTCTCATAGTGGTCTGCAGCTTGGCAGGCGTCTCACTGAGGTGTCACACCATCCAATGTTCCCTCTACCTCCCAATGACAAAGTGCTCTCATATACTGCATCAATTTAGAAATGCTGATATGATACCTATGAAATTTACAAATGTAAAGTATTCATTGTTTACTAAAATGTACAAGGTCAGCATTTTCTTCTGCCAACTTGGCTGAAATATTTGTTAATTGGCCAGATGGGATATGTTTGATGGAACCACATTGGTCTTGTTGAATGATATGTTTTCTCTTTATAGTGTACAATATTTTGTGCAGTAGCCTTAGACCTGCTTCGCCCCCATCTATTGGGCAAGTTGGGAGGAAACCAGCCATGTTCCCAACAGTATCACAGAGAAAACTTTACATTATTAAAGATGTTGTGTATGATGGGGACTAATGCAACATATACCAACTCTAGTGGCACCCCCAGAATTGTTTTTTCCTAGGGGTGGAAATGAAAATGAAGCCTAAATGTGAAGCATTATTTACCCCACTTCCCAACAAGTTAGAATGAATGGTTGGTACCAACAGATGTTTTAGGCTGTCTAAGATACCACTACTGTCCCTAGTTTAAAAAATAGGCGTGCCACAGCCCTGTAAAGACAGTAACGTCCGCCTTCTACTTCTTCTAAACTATATTCAGGGTGGTCATGGCCACCCATTGAGGGTGCCACTGGGGGTTACACAGTGAAGACTTAAAGCATAATTTAGGTTTATTTCATCTTGGGTTGAAAACATACCAACAGGTTAATCAGATATATTTAGATGATAATGCTGTTTTTTTAGACATTAGATTCCACAGCCATAAACTGAGCTAAGCTAGGCTAAGCTTTATATTCACCATGCCTTTGTACTGCTAAACAAAAGGCATCTACAAGTGTCTGACTCTGGGTAAGAAGTCAAAATAGTAAAGTTTTCCATGAACCAAAGTATTTATTAAACATGGAAATAAGTTACTGATGCTTCAAAGGAAAAACAAATTACTTTAAAGCCAGTAGTCGTGTTTCTTTTCCCGCGATCTTCTGATATTAAAAGGACAAGAATGAGCCCAACAGTGAGCCACTGTGCTGCTTTTTGCCTCTTGTGTGTCCTCAGATGTGCTGACTGCCAACTGAAGGGATTGGATCAGTGTCAGCCAGTGTTAGGTTGTGCCAAATGCATCCGCAGCAGCACATAAAATGTGGCTGGTTGCCTCTAGCTGATCGCTGACTACACTGAAACGGACTGAGCGTGTACTGTACGGACATGGCGGACCATGCATGATTTTAGTTGGTCTGCATTGTGTTTCAGGAAGGCTCATTTTAGAGGTTGTTCTGAATCTCTTCATTGTACATAAGTATATTTATTTATTTATCTATTTATTTAAATTAATTTGTGTCTTATTTACGTGATTTATTTATTGAAGAGACATTCTTCTGAGGATTTTGTTTCATGGAACTTGCTTCAAATTTGGGCCTGAATTAGCTTATGCATTGATTGTTGTTGTTTTTTTTTTTAAATTATAATTATGATTTTCTGACATTTCAGACCCCGAAGTGAAATAATCTACTTATTACACATTTAACATACTCTTTTAGACACCAGTGACAATTAACATCATTAACACTGACTTAAAGTTTTTAAATCTTCATAATGCGCAAGGGTATATTTTCCTCTGTGCAAGTGTTTGTCAACTTTGTATTGCTGTCGGGTCCGTCACTAAGAATAAGGGGGCAAACAGTGGTGATAAGTTATATTTCCTGTCATTGTCCTGAATGTGGAAATACAGAGTATGATATACATAAAAGCATTTGAAGTCTGAGATTGACCTCTGTCATTGCTAAGCAATGTTTACACTGTCTACTAACATGACAAAGGGCAAGAATCTCGGAAGATGAGGATTTATGGAAGCTCATTTCTGACAAGACTCATGAAAGAAAAACAAATCCATACAAGCGAGCTAGCTTTAGTGCTAGCTCTGCACTCACTAGCTGTGGTTTGGGAGAGCTTAAGGGGGAACTTCAGTGTTTTTCAACCTGGACCCTATTTTCCAGTGTTTTTCTCTCTAAGTGATTAATGGGAACACCAATTTTTAAAACTGGTCCAGCGGAGAAACAGGCTGTAATGTAACCCCTCTGGGTGTTTGGCATTGTCAATTAACGTCCACTAAAAGAGCTTGTTTTGCCACTGACAGGGCAAAGCCACCAGACTCCATTAAAATAAACAATATTTTTTTCATTGTGAAACACACTTCATTTTAAGTCAAGAGAAACAAAATAAAACTCATAAAATCTGCCTTTTTTCTTCTTTCTGCTGTTTTTTATGACTGTCTGACAACATTATGAAGAGACAGACCTTTTTTTCAAAGAGCAGTCCTTTTTCGTTGAACTAGAAACAGCCCCAAAATCACAGTCTCCAAACAGCCCAGACCCCATTGAAATAAATGTTAACTAAACCATGTATAGAATCAGCATATTTTAACATCTAACTGAATGAACTGATAATAACAATAGTAATGATAATAATAATAATAATAATAATGATAATTTTACTTGTATAGCACTTATCTAAACAAAGTTACAAAGTGCTTCACAAAGTGCACAAAAATAAGACAACAATAACAATACAGTATTTTTTAAAAATGTTATGAGCTGAGAAAAATTGTGTATACAAAGGCAAAAATAGAGCAAAAGGAAATAAAACACAAAGTTACAAATCAAAAGTGCAAATCAGGCATTACAAGGTAAAACTTGACGGCAAAAGCCCGGTCACCCTCAATCTAGGGATGACTTGCGAGGGTGTATTTCAACCACACCAGCGTTGTTGATTGTTGGAACAGTGGAAAGATGACAATTTTTGTGGGAGACAATTTTTGTGGGTATTATTTGTTTTTGTCAACTTTGAATGAAGTCTGTTTCACAGTGATTACATTACTGTTTATTTAAATGGAGTCTGGTGACTTGCTTTCAAGTAATTTTACCACTGCCGGCTGTCATCTCCATTAGTCACTTAAAAACAAAACATGGGAAAATAGGGTCAAGGTTAAAAAAGACCAATCATACCCTTTAAATGGGTTATGGTGGCATGACACATACAAAGACAACCTCAAGACAGCAAGCATGCTGGTTTTGTTATGACTGTAACTATCCACTCTCTTGGATACTCGTGTATGAATGCAACTTATTCAGGATTGAAGTCCATCAAATGGAAGCAACATTAAGTGCTTACTACAGTTCCCACTGGGGCTACTTGCACAGTAGTCTCGCTCACCAGACCTTTCTCAAGAAAAGAAAGGTCTGGCTGGGCAGCAAGCAACGGTGTGCTTGCAAAAATATTGCCGGGGGGAAACAGGTTTTGGTGTAACACGCCCACAAAAATATCGCCTACAGGACGCGAACCATGGCAGAAAAATGGCTACATCCCCGCAAGATTAGCCTGAGTGTCAGACTGAAGCTCCCAGAACCTTCAGTCTGACATGGCTTCCATTGAAGGCGATTTACAAGGGGGAGGGAATTTGATTTTTTCCCTAACCAATCAGTAGAGATCAACGACTCACCCAGAATGTGACGTCATTAGTATCCATGCCTCGGGGGTGCCGAAAACAAGCGAGCATTGCCTGTTTAAAATGTCTCCATCGTCTTGCACGCCCAGCTGCATCGCCGTTAAATCCAGTTTAGCAGCTACCTTAATTTGGTCCGCGAGTAGTGGCGAAATACCTCGATAGCATCGTTAATGTGGTCTGTAGGATCTGTAGCGGTCGCCATTGTTGCTATCCTCACCAGTTACCCACTGGCGTACAGCTTGACATCAGCGTGGCGCTGATTGGCTTATCGCTAGACCCCCGGCGTTCATTGGTCCGTCCATCGTTTGGACGAGATAAATCGCAAATTTATTGAAGTATGCCAGACCAGAGATGCAAGCCTACTCATTTGAGTGGGCGGGGTCTATGGTCTGGAACCAGGCTACAGCAAGATCAAACACTGCAAAAGTTAGTAAAGGACGTGTTGAAAACTGCAACCGGAGGTGGTAGGGCGGGACTTTCATCGGGTGGCTCGTTCCGCCCAATGAGAGGCTGATCTTTGCAGCGAACTTCCACCCACTCAGACTACTTGCACAGTTACTGTACCAGACCTGGAACCAAGAGTCTCATTATCTGTCTTTTGGCCAACTCTTAATTATCATTCATTGGCTGCATCTGGTACAATTCTACTAAAGTTTAGGTTTTGGAGACTCAAGTCTAAAAGGCCTAGTTAGCAGAAAGATGACAATTATTTATTGTCAAAAAACTGAACAAATTCATTAAGCAAACCTAACAGTCATTTACTTTATCTTCTGTTTGATTTACAGTGCAGAACAGCATGCAAAATATCCATGTGCAAACATCAAGTTGTTTTAAATATCGATATTACACAGTTGCAAATAATGAATTGAGAAGTCTCTAATTGGCCTCAGCTCTACTCTATCACCCAAAAAACAGATGTGTTCTGCACAAACAGCTGTGTTCCTGCTCTCTCAAACCCAGACTCACAACCTGATTACTGACCTCTTTCAGTAGTTTTGCTTTAAATGAGCTTCCAAAGGATTCAAATGTGAGTTTACATATCATGAACTCTGACATGCACAGTCATGCATTTCTCAGCTACAAACAACTAACAACAAACCTTTCTAAGGTCCATTATCTAAGGTACATTTTCTAAGGTAAATAATTCTGTTCACTTCTCTTGCTGTCTACAGTCTTTGGTCTACATCTGTCACCATTTTGTTACAACCCTTGTACAGCACAACTTTAAGTAAGCAGTAAAATAAATACTGACAGTTTACTGATAATGTTGAAATTGGCAGAATTTGTGTGCTCTTTCAGTTTGAGTGTGTTTAGCCAAGCTGTGCCTGTACTGATCTTGCTTTTATTGAATACCATCTTTGCACTGATGACCAGTGGCTTTCCTGTTCCGGTACCTGCAGATGTTCCAGACCATTTGAAAAGAAAAAAGAGAAAAGAAGACACATCAATATCACACCAACATGTTAGTTGACAAGAAGTCCCAGAGCCAGGTATATTCAGTAATTGGTTTGGATTTCTGGCAACATTACAAATGAACTAATAGTGTGTGTGCTGTGGTATTCACACAGGCACGTCAGTATTTTCAGTGGCAAGGTAAAATGTTGCAAAAAGGATGGATCACAATATGTATCATTAAATTTCAGGTCTTAAGCAAATAAAATGTAACATTGTAAAGTACGTAGTGGACTAAATAACAAACACCACATTGATTGTGCATCTACTGACAATATGTATTTTTTGACAAAAATGCTCGTACAGTGGCGTGCAAAAGTTTGGTCGCAACTGGTCAAAATGTTATTTACTGTGAATAGTTAAGCAGAAAATGATCTGAAAATGAACTGATCTCCAAAATGCATGAAGTTAAAGATGACACATTTCTTCAATATATTTCTACACTAGTTTTTAATTTCAATCTTTTACAGTTTCAAAATAACAAAAAAGGAAAAGGGCCTAAGTAAAAGTTTGGGCACCCTGCATGGTCAGTACTTAGTAGCGTCCCCCTTGGCAAGTATCACAGCTTCTAAACGCTTTTTGTAACCAGCTAAGAGCCTTTCAATTTTTGTTTGGGGAACTTTCACCCATTCTTCCTGCAAAAGGCTTCTAGTTCTGTGAGATTCTTGGGCTGTCCTGCATGCACTGCTCTTTTGAGGTCTATACACTGCAACTTAAAGGAGCAATATGCGAAATTCATCATTTCTAGATTGAAGGAATTAAAAAATTTCTGTGTGAAGAACTAGAGGTGTAATTTCATCTGGAGTATAGCATGACCTCACACACCCTCTCTCTGTGTTGATCTCCAGCGCGTATTTTCGAAATGAAATGGCAGAGAGCGGAACGAAACCGGGGCTAACCGGTGCTTCCTCCTCTGGCTCCACTTCACTCAGCTGCCCCACAGATCCGCTGCCTCTCCCACTTTAACCTCAATAACAATCCGGAGCTAGCTGGGAGCTGTTGGCGAGGCGTTAGCCGCAGCATGACCGGAGGGAAGCACAGCCAGTTAGCCTCCGCTAGCTTCCCAACTAGCCCCTGCTCTCTGTTTGGATCCAACTGGAGCACCGAGCCCTGGTTTGTTATTCAGGTTAATGTGGGAAGAAGCAGCTGGTTTATCGGGCAGCTGAGTGAAGCTGGGTGAAGTGGAGGCTGCGGAGGAAACAACGGGATGGGTTAATGTCTGGAGCTTGAGTTATTAGCGGCTCTGTCCCAGCAGTGGGTCAGGCGTTATGGTTGTGTTAAGTGAGTAAGTTAGCCTGGCAGCCCAGCTAACATTTTCAATTGGCATTGTACTGGCGAGCCAGGCGTGCAGCCTGCGAGGCTACATTTTTGTAATTTGCTGAGATGGAGGCGAGGCTCAGTGACTAGAAGAGCTGGTAGAACCACTCCATAGCTGTAAATTACTCAAGTAGCCGGTGGCAGCCGACTCGGCTAGAGACATCGCCGGATCCCGGCTAGTGCTAACACCGGGAGCTAACGCTAACGTTCCTCCTTTTCTCCGTGAGTGAGAGCTATGTTTTAGCCTAGCGGGCAGCTGGCTCGTGGGCTGCCCGCTAGGCTAAAACATCGCTTCAGGTTAAAGTGGGAAGAAGCAGTGGGTTTATCGGGCAGCTGCAAATATATTACATTTATTACAGGTACCATCCTCATTGAAGTAGGCAGGGGAATAGCTAAACACAGCAGAGACCAAGACATCGCTAACTGCTAGATGAGGTGAGTGGGGGGTGGAGAGCAGAGGTAGAGGGAGGAGTGGCTCATGACACACTTTGTTTTGGTCTACAGGCAGTGCACAACAGCAAATCTAGCGGTGAAACGATTTCGCTTTTTGCCCCTTTAAAGTCCACTTATTGTACAAGCTTTTATTGGAGCTCTCAGCAACATCACCTCACTCACACCCCTTTTTAACCAACATGAAAAGGGTTCTCTTCTGGTTCCTGTGCCTAATTTTCAATTATCTGAGCATTTTGACCAACTAACCCCAAAAGTTGGTTTCCAAATGAAACAAAAAAGAGGGCAGAGTTTTGCACCTAATAGCTTTCTACTTCCTCTTGTGGTAATAGATGTCCATGCTTGTTTTTTTTGTGGATAAAAACAAATATCTATAATAACAGCAAAAGCTTGCGGGTAATTAATCCAATCTGCCATCTTGCTTCTGCTGATTACTTCCATTGTGAACATGGTCTCTCTCGGAAGTCGTCAAAATCTGTCATCCTTTAACCTCGGCATGATACATGGCCAGTTGCCGGCCGGCGCAATTAGGGGAACACACAGTGGGACAAGGACGACAGTTAAGGTGGCGTAAGTCCGAGTGGTGCAGGCGGGAGGGGTGGTGGTTGGTTCCAACAAACACTGCCCTTCACCCGAAGGAATGGCACTCACGTCTTGTTAGATTCTAAAGCCAAACCTGTTCTTTTTTTTCTAAACCGAACCACTTTTTCTTGATGCCTAAAGTTGAACGAGTGTTTTTGATGCCTAAACCCAACCATGTGTGTTTGTTGTTGAAGGAAAAAAACATACATTTGCAGTGTTGTACTGACATAGTGCAATTATTTTGAAATAGACTGTATGTAAACCTTAAATTTCCTGGGAAAGTGTATCTTGACTGAAGAGAATTCGGCAAGATGTCCCAGAACGTCAACAGCCAATGCACCCAGGGTACCTTGCATGTTGTATGTGGACATGGAAAGTCCATGACCAAAACATCAATATGTGACAAGGTCGGAGTGAGGATGTGTTGCCAATGACACAGCCAAGATTACAACAGTTCTGCTTATAACTGGTGGAAATGCGGGGTAGTTCGCTCGATAGTGCCAAAGTTCCAAGAGGCCTAAGCGGAACCAGTTTTAATTTGGTGGAAAAGTGATCATCACCGACACTTTGTCGTGCCCCTTGGTGTCTGATAACGATGCACAGGGCACCCTTTAGCGCATGCACTCTGTAGCCTCTTAGATTGCATCACGTATCATGGCAGCATCATTATACCCCTGGATGACATGAAAATGCGCTGCTTATCAACTGACCCCAGGGTTTCTATGTGTTAGTTAGTTTGTGGTAAGTTTGAATGGGAGCGTACCTATGTTCCCCGGGTTCTATGTTCCCCTGGTCCTATGTTCCCCGCTTTGTATGGGACCCCAAAAGGGTCCTATGTTCCCCGCTTTGTATGGGACCAGGAAACATAGGCCCTTTATTTTAAAAAAGGGTCCTAACCCCTAACCCCTAACCCTAACCCATCAAGATATTTGATGACTTGGGTTGTTGCCTGCTACCTCTAAAACTAACATGCTTGGTGCATATCATACTGCCAAGAAGGATGTCTCTGTGCGTCAGTGTCTAATGCCGACATCACTGATAAAGTGGCAGTAGGTCTATTTGACAACTTTGGAGTAAGAACGGTCTGACCATTTTCTTATGCGAGCATAAGGGGCCGTACATATGCCACAACTTTAACCGCCTGGAAAATGCCAGGTCAAGCACTTGCTGCTACTCTTGTGCCTTTTCTGTGCCAGCTTTCAAGAGCATGGCGATAGGTTGCTAAGCAACCTCAACAAGCACCGAATCATAGCTTACTTACCTGACATCTTGAGTGCAGAGCTGATCTTTCTCCAAGCGCTGTTTGTGTGTAGGAATATGATCTATGGGAGAGATGAAAAGCTCTGGCAGTCCTGCACTAAAATATGATCAACTTCTTTTCCATATTTGTCACAGACTGATATTTACAAATGAAGGGAGAGATGTTTGTCAGCTGTGATTGGTTGGTCCTTGTCACATGACATGCACTGCACATTGCTCCATTCTATAAGTCGAACTCAGTTTATCAGTTTATTTTATTATGTTCGCGGCGGCAGCAGTTTTGCTCTGGCATTTGAATGTGCCTGCCATGCTTCTACATTTAAAATAATTAATTTGAGGGCGCAAAAAACAGGGCATGTGTAAAGCCCCTAATATGACTTCTTATAATAAAGGTCTTAAAACTTTATTTTGCAACAGTGCCCCTTTACAAGTCACAGGATTACTTCAGACTGTAATGCTAGAGCATCTTTAGTGATATTGTTGCATTTAGAGGTGAAAATACCCAAACAATTGCCACTGGAAAAAGATGTCCTCTGGCAACACTTGCAGTTTAAAGTGCAACTTTATTACGACAATCTAGATGGCACACAGTGAACCAGGATTCTTTTGAGGCCCCTGGTGGTCTGGGGCCCCACAACAGTAGCCTAATTTGTAGTTGGTACTACAGCCTCAGAGGTGGTACAGTGGGAAAGGCAACAGAGTGGCATAAATCAGTAGGTTTATTATAATGACTCCACACTGGACTGAGAAAGTGACAAGTATTTAATTGTAAATCAACAGTGTTAACAAGTGTATCATTAATACTATAAAAAACAATAATCATACAGGGACTGTTAGTACATGCTGAGTGTAAAATACAAGGGTGGGAGGTTGACACAGAGGTTCAGGATACAGAGCAGAGCTGAGAGGTATGAGGACAGTAATACTGTCTGACAGGCTGAATGTGATGGGAATCAAACTGAATTGTGACTGTGGAGGGTTTGGTGTCACAGGTGGCGTCAGAGGGAAACTGACATTTTGGTTACCACTTAGTTGCGCCATCATTTTGAAGATTTATCTTGTGTTCTTTAGTTGCACAGCAAAAACGTAGCAACTGGATCCAGTGAGACCAACGCTAAGCCTCATTATGCTCAAGTGTTATCATGTTTCCACTATTACTCTACACTGTATATGCTAACATATTAGCATATGTACACATTATGTGTTGTAAAAGTTACAGAGAAGGGTCCATTCAGCTTCTCTCTTCTTCATTCATCTATACAAGGCCAGCTGAGCATGCTTTGCCATGTTAACATAAACAGTCGTTTTAACATTTAACAAGCCATTATGTGATAAAATCCTGCTAAACCAGATGCTGATGGAGCTTTTTCACAGTAGAGAAAATAAAGGTTTAAATCATAAAATGAATAATGACTGAATTCCATTTAGCTGCTTCAGTTAGGGTCCTGGCATTTTAGCTACATGCTAGCTCACTGCCAAACTGGCTTACTGGTACACTTGATGAGAAGAGAGCTGTTGTTAATGTTGTGAGTAACATCTGTGTGTCTCACCAACTCTCACATCTGCATTTAGTCCAAACAAAATGATTTCAGTTAAAAATGTGCAACCGTTTTTGCGCCGTAAACTGCTTTATATTGACGAAGTTGTTACAAAAGGTGGGGATGGGGTTGGACAGGGTATCATATCTGCAGTTAAGGTTAGAACATTATAGGACACATTTTATACTTTTATAATGTGCCTTTTTCTCCCCCACACAAACTCTCAAGTTCTCTTCATGGTTTTATTTTTAGTTATATCTTGCTAGTTGGAATATCAATAGGGACACACCACCAGAAGTCTGCATCATACTAACTACCTGCACCTTAAAGTCCCGACTTGACTGAACCTGACTTTCTGCCAAATTTAAGACCCAAACCCGACCTGTGACCTTAAGCTGTATTTGCTTTATTTCATCTATTACTGATCAGTAGCTGCTAGGCTAATGCCAAGCACTGGCTGCACTCACTGTCACACACTTCCTCTTTCACTCAGCCTGGTCTCACAGTTATATGTGAAATGACCACCACCACTGGACACCACATTACATACAGTACATGGTGATGGCCCGTAATGTGTCAAAACTATGCGTTGGCACCACAAAAACAGTGTCAATGGGAAGTCAATTAGGATTCTTTGTTGTGGTGGATGCACTGATTCCTAACCGAGTGGTCTGGGTGCATCCATCAGTGTTACACAGCCATGCAATTTAATATATTATGTACGACCACATACTGTGTTGAGAAGAGGTCGGGGTCATTTCACATGTTTCTGTGAGATGACATAGCCTTTATTCCTCCTGGGCATTGCAAATCTACTTGCAAATAATGTGGAGATAAGAAAAGATGCAATGATGTTGCCATGTTTATAATACCCTATAAAATTATGTCATTTTGTCAAATTATATTGTTTTCTCATGGCTTGGCAGCAAGTGCTCCATAATCCGGTACCAGTCTGCAGTTGGAAAGTTGGGTACAACTATAATGAGTTTGATATCTTGACAACTGGGTTAATCTGGACTTGTCTAAAACCTGTATGAGTCAGAATTACATGCTGTTAAAAGCTGCATCACTAGATCTAAAATGTCAATGATGAAGTGAGGAAAATGTTACTTTTATCACCCATGATGGCAAAACCAATGCACAGAGAGTCAAACTTTGTTACCATATACATACAATTCTGCTCCAGCTGCTCAGTGGCCACAGTAGCGCACTGAACAGCCATTATAAATGTACAATGTAAAAGAGAGAAAACATGCTTACACAGCTTTTCTTGGATTACAAAAATGTGCGGTCCAATGGACTTTTGAGAATCTGAATCATAAACGTACTGGGACTGAAGAAGATAAACTGTTAAATTAATAGCATGCAAGTTGAAACACAACAGAAAATGAGTTATTAAGTAATTCTCTGTAAACTAATGATGGCTGGGAGAAAACATTACATACAATACAGCACAGTCCAATTATTACAGCGTAAACTGGAGCTGACTGAACATTATGGAGGTGTAAGCTATCAGTGCTGGATAATGAAGTGACTATGAAGATGTAACAGGACATGCTTACACAAATATGGATCAATATGGATTATACTTATGATCCTTTCCTCCATTTATTACCCTCTGTTACTTTTTTAAGAGTACACCCAGGCTGAAAATCCTACTTGTGCTGCCATCCAGCAGTTGCTGCACCTGTGTCTTAACCGTGTACATGACAACACTTTACAGCGCACTGCTGCACACACAGTTGGGTGTGGTCAAAAGTACAATGTACCACCCCTGGACACACCCAGCTGTGATGCAGAAAGATATATTAATAACAAAACCCAGCGTATGACTGTGTGATCAGCGCCACTAAAGCACTGCATGAGTCAATGACAAGACAGAAAGAAGCTTAACCCCGCCAAGGCCAAGTGGAGTATTGGTCATTTTTGATGAAAGGATCAAACCACCCAATTCAGACACCTTATCAGATGATGGTGCTAAGGCACATATTTTTTTTTGTCAACTGTTATTAGGAACAACTTACAGTGGAAACTGTTGTTTCTGCTGACTTCCTGTGGTTTATCTTCTCACTATGCAGCAGTGATGTATAAGTGAACTCCAGGGTGTGTTTTTACAGGTGGGGTTACATGTGCAACAGAGAACACATTTGACCACACCCAAAGCTAGAAACACACTTCAAATTCTCAACCAGAGAGGGCAGTGAAAAACTTTAAAGGGGAACTTCAGTATTCATTTCAACCTGACCCCTATTTTCCCATGTTCATGTGTCTAAGCAACAGATTCTTATAGAACGGTTTGTATGATATCCAACGAATTTGCACCCCACGAATGACATTACATCCTTAACATACAGTTATGCAATTAACGTGATGTTACGGAGGTTAGGTTTAGGCAAGTTACTGTTGTTAGGTTTAGGAAAAGAAACATGGTGAGGACGTACCTTAACATAACTCAAAGTTTACTCAAAGTTCACACAGATCCGAACACATGACTTCAGGGGAAAGTCTAAAGCCAGGCTAAAGTCAATTTTTTTTTGTGACCCATCCGCCACCCCAACCTACCTCCTAACAAGGACTTTGGACTGCTTCCTTGTTTACTACTTTCAGTGCATTAGTTACGTGATCGCAGCCTTTCAAAATACATGGGATATGTACGAATTTGGGTACATTGCTTTTTGTGGGAAAACATATGAAATTTGTTTTAGAACAGCCTTGTCTCGCTTTAATTTGGTCCAGTATTGAGTGAGAGCGCTGTAGCAGTGGAAATAGGCTACCATGTAACCATTTGGAGGCAGGTGCGCCCCGTGTACATCAATTAATATTGCTTGTTTTTGACACTGACATGCTTACATTGTTGTTCTGAGTGTCCTTCAACATAACAGAAAGGATACAACAGAAAAAAATGTTTTCCGTATTTTTGCTTGTTCCATTTTGTTTCATGCCCAAGTCTCGTTTTAAGGACAATTCTCTTTCTCACAGGTTTTTTCATACTGTCAAAATCAGCCATATATTCAGCCACAACATTAAAAGTCTTTTAGATAAGAGCAAGATGTGTTTTCTGTATTCCAAAACACCATTATCAGCACTCTTCTGTCTAAATCAGGGAGACCAGGACACACAACAGAACAGAACAAATGAAAGGTGGTGAAACGTGTCATTTCTCTGCAGTGACCTTTTCATAATGTTGTAAGATACACATAATAACAATGTGAGCTTGTCAGTGGCAAAAAAAACTTAGAAGACATAAATTGACAACTTACATCTGCATGGTTACACTGCAGCCTGTTCTGCAGCTGCTGGTTTCGGCGGCCTCTTTCAATACTGGACCTATTTAAAAAATGTTGTTCCCACAGGTCACTTAGACACAAAAACATGGGAAAATAGGTTGAAAAGTTAGTTACTCTTTAAAAATACCAGGACTCTCCCTTTTCAGCATATTTAAAGAAACCAACAGAGGAGTGGGTTAGGTGGGATGTCAAATAATTCAACACAACTCGTCATCTGATCACATCTGAAGGCAGAGTATTTCCACCTTTCTGATCCGTGACAAGCTGGCCTTCACAGAGAGAGACAAACACAAACAGGGATAATGGCACTGATTACATCCCTCTGTCAACATCTGTAAAGGCTTGTTAGAGTTACCTGCTATGAGCTAGGCTAACTTAGCACTAGCTTAAATCCAAGTCCCCTGCCCCTGCGACAAAACACCAATCTTTGGTGCCTAAAGTTGGAAAAGCAGCAATGACTCACTAAATCACAACCAATTTTGTTATTGTCTCAAACAGTGGTCTGCAGCTTCGCAGGTGTACTGCCTTGGCATCATGCCATCCACCATTCCCTCCACCTCATGATCACAAAATCTGGTCCTGTCCAATGTCACTTTAAGGATATTGATAAAAGACATATGCAAATGTAATGTATCCATGGTTTGCAGAAACATACAATGCCAACATTGTCATCATCGCGACTGGGCTGGGATTCATACATGAGTTACAACACTGTAATGACAGGGTAGCTGTCTTGATTTCTTTTTAACTGTGCTGTATTGATACTGTCATACTGTCACGTGGTGCTGTCAGGATGTAATTCACTATTTTGGGACTGCATTATGAACGTCTTTTGCACAAAAATATAGTTACGGATTTTACTGGCTAAAAGCATATTGCATGCATTAATTGTTTTAGCAAGAAAACCACATAAAATAAATCTGTTAATCTTGCATAAGGATCATTATTCAATAGGTGCAGCAAAATCATCAGTCTATCCCTGAATTCAATCTTGCCACACTGCTGCGATGAAATGGAAGTATAAACAATATTTCTATTAATGCCCATTATTTTAAACAATTAATGATTGCAAAAAAGAGGGCAGATCTGATGAAGTCAGGTGCCCATTCAATGAAATTCCTCTGACTGTAGGACTGCAGAGCTGCAGTTCTGAGAAGGTAACAGGATAAAATCCACAAAAAAACTGAAATACACCACTAATTATAAAAAGTAAAGGTTATAACAGACACATCAACTATCCTATCCTGAACCTGATATGGCTCAGTGAAATGTTAAAATAAGACTTGATCATAATCTTGGAAAGTCAGTGACCCCACCTCCACCAATTAGAATTTATACTGAGCACACCTTGTGTTATCAAGCCTGTTAGTTTTTCTTTTTTAAACAAGCATCTCAAAATAAACCCTTACTGCTCATTTTATCCACTGGGTGGAGTACTGAGCAAGACTATGGGGCAAATACTTCCACTGGCGTATTATATACGAAACCGATGACATAATGACTAGTTTTCATTTGTGGACACCTGTAAAAAGTATGAGGACACCTGAACATTCCACCCACACGCCAAAGTTGAACGCATGATGCTGACACCATGAGCATTACGTAATGTGCTTCTCTTACAGCCTTGACTCTCCTGGTTTAAGTCTTTAAACCAGATGTTAAACCTGCTGCAGGTATTCTCTCCCTTTCAGACACAACAGCATTAGTAAGGTCAAACTCTGACGCTGGGTGAAAAGGCTTCAATCGTCCACATACTTTTGGCCAAAGTGTATAATTTATATAGCGGATGCCCAAGATTCCTAGACACCACTGGGAGATTTAGTTTATGTTTCCTTTCACTGTGCTAACTGCTCTCTCCTGCCCTGTATATGTCACCATCCTTACAGAAAATATATATGAGCCCACATTTGTTTCACATATATCCATATTTGATGCATTACTTATGTCTCGTGTAAAAACTCAAACAGAATATCTCATTTAAAAACTACTAGTTTGTCCCATACTGAAGAAAAACATAGGAAAAACAATAAAAAAATATTTTTCCATCTCATTTTGTTATGTTGGGGGGAAAAAGGGAAATTAAAAAAAAAAAAGCTTTCTTTTTCACATCTCTCGTTCTGATTGGATGAGGAGCATCAGCCATCCTCTGGCAGGTGCAGGAAGAGGGATGGAGACATCAGAGGTGGCTCTCTGATTCGCATTTGTCAGCAGTTCCGTTCTCCAGTGGCCAGGGGGACAGTCCCAGTTCACTGAAGTTCATGTTGCTCTCGTTGAGCCGTTGTACGCGGTAGGTCTCATAGTGGATGTTGTGTGTCACGTCTTTCAGGTCCTGCAAGTGAGACCTTTGCCAAAAACACAGAGAGAGATTGACAACTTAATATTCAGTTTGCTACTCTCTATGTCCTTCTTGAGGAGGTGAAATAATTGACATTTTAATATGTCAGTCCTCCAGAATTGATTTATCTAGCAATCGTAAGAAACGACAGAGCCCTGCATTGTTTGCAAGAGCTTACAGTTTTGTACAATCCTTGCAATTAGGGATATTACCAAAATTGTATATTCATAATTCAACACGGATTTTCTAAATATCATTTAATTTCACATGCACCCTCTTTAATTTCACTCACACTAATGGATTAACAAGACCCATGTTCATGCTTCAAGTCTATTTTCATCCATTTTAAGCACGTAACCACAGTGATTGTGTGTTGAGTGGCCTAAACTCAACACCTTGCCTGAATGTATCCTGTGTAGACACAAGCCCCTTTGGCACTGCCTGTTCAAGGCAGGAATGTTCAGCTGTTATTCTGCCTCTCTGTTCTGTATAAAAGGACGGGACCACGGGTGGGATGAGTATGATGTTTTGAGAACGTGCTTGTTTGCGACCCACCACCGCCAAGAGAAAAACAATGAGGTCCAGGAGCTCTTTACCCTCCGAGCAGAGGACAAGATCAGCCGCCATATTACAAGGACGGTAAATGACAGATATTGCCAAGTTAACACATTGTAATTTTTTTTAAAAGTGCTGCCTGATGCATATGTTGTATGTCACACTAAACGCTGCCGCTGTTGTGTTCCACGTCATACCTCTTTTGCTTCTGGGATCTCTGTGTAAAAAAGATTTTTACCAACAAAGCTATTGTTGGTCTACATTCTACAGGTATTTTTGTGAATTTTTTGAAATACAGAACTGGGGTTCAGTTAAGTTTAAGGAACACTAGCGACGAGCTCTGCTGTTTGCCACATGAGGCCAGCAGCCTGGAGATTCTGTCCACAAAAATCATGAACAAAGTGGGTATCAGGGAAACAACCCTGTTGGAGCTCTACAGTTACAGGAAGGATGCTTATTATCCTGTCAGGAATGCTGACACCGCTCTTTCTCGGGGTTACACGAGGAACATACTCCAACAATGAACTCAATAAGACACCCTAATGAATGTGGTGGTCATGAGCCTAGAATAAAAGTGGTTTGAATGATGTGTTGTTGACCCTGTTGGAAGTGCTGTCATAGAGAGGCGGCAGACATTGTTTGTTTACAAGTGGGGCTAATGTCACAATTTCAGACATTCTCTGCAAGACAAAAATACTGTTGTACAGGTTGTTCACAGAACTGACTAATCAGGGTGGGAAGTGGGTGCTAATGCTGCATTGTCAATTAGGGAAAGTTACAGAAATGGTCGGACACAGCCCCTCAAATCCCACATCTGAAAGCTGTGGTAGGAATAGGTTTTGAAAGCTATTTGACCATCCAAGTCTACTAATCCACTGTCTGATGACCAGGATGTCATCTACTTTGCCCCTCCAGAATCTCCAAAACCAAGGTTTGGAGTCTCTTTTCTGCCACCAAATGATTGGATTAGATTCAAAGCTTAATTAATTCCCAATGGGGAAACTCATTTGCCACCAGCAGTGACTCGTATAGACAACAAAGAATGGCCCATGTACAATAATTTTTTTTGTAATAAATGTACAGAGAACTAAGAACACAGACAGACAATCCAAGGAAACAGAAGTCACAGTGACAGCCACACTGCTGCACTGTAATCTACATTCCACAGTAATACAAAGATCAGACATGCATTGTAAAAGGTGTTTTGTGGATTATCTCTGTCTCATTGCAGTGAGTAGAGAATAATAGATTTGATGTTATGCAAGAGATAATCCATGATGAGCCGTGTGGTTCCTGCCAGTTTGTTTACATTGCGGGAAATGTGCTCTTAAATTGTAATTTTTGTAAACACTGTAACTAAAAATCATTTAGTCAATTGGAGAAGTCTGATAACACACTGCAGAGCTGTTTACATCACGGGACAATCAGAAGTGGGTACAATGTGTATTTGCCATTAACAGGGAGAGAACAATTATCAATTTTAAAGACAGCACCAACCATGAACAGAGATAGAAGTATACATACATACATACTTCTCCATTCACTGATGAAACTCAAAGTATACCATAAAAAGTTAGTATGTGGACCTTTGACCTCAAATTTTGTTTTTGTTAGACTTGTGACACACTCTACGCCTTTAAGGCCTCCGAATGTTTTAACAAGACTGTTTCTACTGCAGTGACAAAAACAGGGTGAAAAGCTTGCTGTAAGAACATCCTCCTGACTGCAGCATCCCACTGCCTCCCTGACCTCTCTATGACTCTGTCTTATGCATGTCTTTGTCACCTAAACACCATTAAAGCTGAGGTAGACAGAAATCTGGAAGGGGAAAAACAAACAAAAAATGGCATTGAAAATACACCTCCCTCCTGCAGCTCTTCCCTCTCCTCTCAGTGTCCTAAGCCCCTCCCACAGATGTCCATGGTCATATGCACATACCTCATACAGTAACAATAAGCAGCACAGTCAAACTTACCTGATGAGTAGATCTCTCAGATTGGCAAACTCACAGTGCGCCACATTTTCAACTGTGGAAAGAGAAAATATTTGTTTTACATTAGACTTTCAAAAGCAGTCATTCACACAGATGTAGACTTGATCTTTTGTTGGACTAATCAGTTTTACATATACATATGTATCAAGAAAACCTTTATATCAGGTTGAGAACAACTATATGGTGAATTGCTGTGTTAAACCACAATAAAAAGTAACCAACCAGCAGTGTGACTCACAGGTGGGGATGTGTGTCAGCAATGTTAAGATATTTTTTTGTCATTTAACTTTTTACTGGGATAATATATTTTAAACAGACATAGCCTATGATACATGGAAGCTGTGTCACTCATTTATGTTGTATGCATGGGCAACATTGTGTCATGAAATAACAATTTGGTGAGCCGGCTGTCTCTGAAACTGAAAATAGGGCAAAGAATGAGAAATTTAGCCATTTTTTATGTCGTTCAGGTGTTTCTCTGTGGAAAGAGGTCTCACCATAAACCACTTGGAAACACTGGCCCTCATTAATCAACTTATCTTACAAAACAGGGCAGATCGGAGCATAGAAATCATCTTACATTAGGGTTCATGTATGATTCATCAAATATTCTTATCTCGCTAATCATAGTGTAGGAATCATTAGGTGTTGGTAAATGTAGCAGCAGAAAACAGTTGTTATTAACATATCCCGAACCAACATATTGTGGGTCTAGGCCAAGAGGAGAAACCTCTCTATGCTAGAAATGGAAACGCTGAAGTTGCAGGTCCAATTCAACCTGTTGGTTCTATCGAACAGGCTGAAAAGTGTCATCAAAGGAAGTTGAAAAAATGCAGTATGAAAAGAAATCACTGCTGCCTATCGCCTACATATAGTAATAATATAGCCTTTCTATGATAATAATAATAATAATAACAATAATAAAACTATTTATTTGATATTGACCTTAAACAGAAATAAAATTCCCAAAGGGCTTCAGAAAATACAATGAAACATACAACACAACAACAGCAGTCTAGTTAGAAGGACACAAAAGCATAAATAATCATCTTCAGCTCAGGCTGAGACACAACCGTCCTGAGCTTTGCAATATTTCTTAGGGTGCTTTCACACCTGTAATTCTTTTCATTTGGTTGCACCAGAGGAAAAAATATCCATTGTTGCATTTTAGTTTTTGTGGTTTTGTGGTTCCTGTTCATACTGACTTTTTGCAAACAAACCAAGAGGAGTTAACATGAGGTTCTACAGATTGCCAGGTAACTCGTTGATTGGACAGTTTTGGCATTCGTCATCCTGCATCATCAGGACCCGCGTGGGGAAATCAAATTCTGGTGACTGACAGAAGTTTATGCAGCAGCACTTTAATGCTTCTAAAGTGTTCCTATTTATGTTCTTTGGTTTTACAAAGAGGTCATAGAGAAATAACTGATTATAACTAAACATTATTAGGAGGCAATTATTAGACTGCAAATCAATGACATGTTATGAATAATGACTAACATAGAGACAGGATGAAAAGAAAGTGTCTTGTACAGTTGTGATTCTGGGCTTAATACTGTGGGATCACTGTCACACATTTTTTAACGGACGTAATGAACAGACAAAGTACAAAATTTTAACAGCTTTTTAATCAGGGAAATACCAACACTAACGTGCATATGGTTACGTGTATGCATTAGCATAGATAGTTGAGGGATATACATGGCATTATCAGGATCAATTACAAGATTGCAGACAGATTTCACTATCAGCAGATTAACTGATTATTGGTTAAGCTATTTAATTCATGCTAAAATCACATATCGGCTATCATAAAATCCTGTGGTTGGTCTGTTTTCTTTCATACCACAAACAAACCGCATCAGAGTACATTTTGAAGCGGACTAAGACTAACCTTTTCGTGGGCACCAGGGTTTGACTTGACAGCCTACACACCAGCCCAAACAAACTGTACTAATTGTGCAAAGGGACCTGAGTGTTGTTTTAACTTAACCAAAAAGTTAAGGTGGGAAAGTACCCTTAGTTGTAGAAAACAAGTATGGGTCAATGATTTAATGTGGTGATCAAAATGCATGGCCTGATTAAAAATAACCACCAAGATTCCTAAAATTTGACCAAGTAGCTGAAAAAAGGACCTACTGTGGATAGCCTTTGAAGCTATACTATCTGAAGCAATTATCAGAACCTCCATCTTATCTGTGTTTAACTGTAAGTAGTTGTTTGATATCCAATCCTTGATGGCTATCGAACAGTGGTGGAGGACAGCAAATTTGTCAATGCTAACAGGCTTAAATGAGACATATAGTTGAATGTCGTCAGCATAACAGTGATATGATATACCTGTGAACTGGATAACAATTTCAATAATATTGATATTGTTTTAATAATGACCATACACCCAGTTTTGTGTCATATGTTTGTTTATAAATGAGGGGCAATGTGTGGATGCATGAAGACAGCATTGTAAAATTTTAATACTTAATGTTGGCATAGAAACAGTTCGCACACATGTACCCAGGGAGTGTAGAAATATCACCATCACATGTTGTTGTAGTTACGGGCAGCTGCTGTAGACATAGAAGCCTATACTGCACCTTTACATCTGCTTTGTCAAAGTTTGATAACAACCTGTTTACAGTGGTAACTGCAAGAAGTAAATCTTAATACCACATGTAATGGGTCGCACTGATGTTAAACTGATGCTTTACCTTCAATGATTCCCCACTTTGTTTTCCGTCCCAGCACCTTGTTTCCATTCACCTGGTGCTCCTTGTCTGTTCCAACCACAGCAAAGGGAATGTTTTCCTGCACACACAATATAAGCACCTTTCAGTCACTCCAGGCTCATCTCAAGAATGATTTATTCATTATAACATATGACATCCTGCAGTATCAGCACACTTTGAATAAATGATTGCAGATGCTGATCCCTTCACAGTAAAAACAATTATCTTACATAAGGGTTGCATATTATAACATGCATATAATGCAAGTCAAACCATATGAGAGCATAGGTTTATGACTATGACAGTGAAGTCCTCTTGAAGTATTACTTCTTTATTTCAGTTAGTCATTAGGTTTTTCTAAACTTCTTCATTTAATTAAATGAATGTCTGTGCAAACAAAAATACTTTCCAGGAATTATGAGCCACCTGTATATTGACCGTGATCCCATCATTCTACTTATTGTATGCATTGCTTGTGTACCCCTTTGGCTTCTGACTGCCCTTCCAGGACAGTGCACTTACAGACTCAGCAGGCTTAGGTTGGGGTTACAATGTGAGGACAGTATAAACTAAAATAGTTAAGGCTTCAAGACTGTATTTTGACACAGGCAGTGGTTCTTGAAGTCAAGGAAGGATCCTCAAACAGCTGCATTTCAAAGATGCTACATCTTCATATCCCACCGAAGGACTGTTTAGATGCCTGGTATCCTTCCAATTCTACCAAGGACTGTTCTTTGTTCAGAGAATTTTCAACGTCTGTTTGTATGCTCGGTGGTCTTAAAGCCCCCACAGTCCTATGCGCATGATGCATTGGTCCCGTCCACCGATTTGGAAATGAGGAAAATATGCTCGTAAAAGTACTGTTATTTCACCTCTGCAGTCAAAATCTGTTTCTGAACAAATATGAGGGGAGAAATGTACAAAGAAAATGCTAAATCTTCATTCATATTAGGTCAAGGCCTAGGCTTAATATAAAAGTTTGTTCTAGCTTTCATAAGGCGAGGGCATTGATGCATTGCTGGGTCTTGGATGTGCTTGTCTTTAAAAAATGGCGCAGAAGGAGAGCGAAGTGACTGCATCGCCAATAGTGCACCATGCAACTGAATTCAAGTATCTTAAATAATAATCTTAATTTTTTACCTTCCTGACTACGTTATTGACAAAGGCACCAACAGTGCAGTCTCCACCTGTGAGCAAACTAATGTTGATGCTCTGACTCAGTTTCACCAATTTCGTGCAGTTAGCAATAGGCCAGGTGTTATCAATGTATTATGGTAAATCAGGGTGTTTAAAAATTCCAAAGGTGTCTTTTCAATACCGTCAAAAACACAGACGCTCCTCTTTCTATTAAACTGAGACAGAGATGCTGTATTGGGGTGATGTAGTACACAGCACACATCACCAGAGGTCAGTCTCTACTGGTGGAACAGACAGCTGAGTTGAGAAAGATGGTGATTGCGATTGGTGGGGATACCATTACAGGACAAATAAAAAGGGAAAATTCCTCGGCCCCCGTTTGAAAGTATTGTCACATGTAACTTTATCTTTAGATGACTTCTTCCAACTACAACAGCAGTTTATACACCACGTGATGCACACCGATGTGTCGGTATCTGTTGTGGCAACATGTGTCATCAGGTCCTCCAGAGAGAAAGGTGCTTATTTTCTATCTATTCATTATTCTATAGGCCTTAAGTATTTAAACCGAGTAAGACTTATATAAGTAGGCTTATTGCATATTAAAAACACAACACTGTAGGCTAGACCATGATATACAGCAGCTCAGCTTTCATGTTTGTTTTTTAAACACAAATACTGTCATATATGTACACCCAAGTAAAGTGTCAGGAAGGTATGAAGGTATGAAAAAACAGATACCACCCATGCCACCTAGTTGGAAATACTGCGTCTGTTCTGTCCACTGTTTTTAAATTGTAGTGCACGATCAATGTTAGAACCTGCATACTTCCTTGACTGTTACATTACGGGTTCTCTGAATGCTAGGAAGGAGTCTTTCCTTGCCTCTGTAGAGCCCGACTTGGAGGTACCTGTCCTAGCAAGAAAGCATCCCTGACTTTTAGAAGCACCTACTGTCCCTCTAAAAGACAACACGAGTTAACTATAATATACACACCAAACCAGGGTTCGCGTTGACCGGATATTCTCGGTCATTGACTGTTTTTTTTACTACAATGACCAGAAAATCTGAAGGCTGTCGGTCATTTTGACTGGTTGCAATTACCACCCCTGCCCACTTGGCGGTGGAGTGCACAGTCAGTGGTTTAAGTGGCTGCCGTTTTTACACTGCAGAGAAAAAGTCATTCATCTGCTTCATATAGCGTTTTTGACATAACGGCCTGGACACACCAGATGCGTTAGTGCCGCAGAAGTCCTGCGAGTATACTCGCAGGCGCTTGACTGTCCACACAGGCAGCGCATTTCTCCTGCACTCTCCGCACCGGTTAAACATCGACTCCACTCGTCTGTTCCCATCAGTACTCGTTTTTTCACTTCAACAGGTCATTTTAAACATGGGTAAGTCCATATTTTCATCGTTTTTTTATAACATATTAAGTTAATGACAATTTGTCATTGCCTGTCCATGTATTGACACATTGGCATATTCTTCTGTCCATTTTATTTATGTAGTTATGTCTGTAGGCTCGGTGACACAAAACTTCCTGTTTGGTACGATCTGCTCTATCCAGCTTGACAGAAGTGCTCGTGGCTTGCATGAAAAATAGACCAGACGCCTAACTGAAGCACTGCGGTGTGTGGATGTCTGTTCATCTTTTCGTTCATGTCTTTATTAATGCACACTTTATAATTTGCTTGTTGGATTTATTAAAAACGAACGAATGAAAATTAAATGTCTCTGAATATCTTTATTATCATTTAAAAAACGAAAATTAAAATGACCGGTAAAAAGAGATTATGACCGGATTTTTATGATCCTGTTGGTCAAAATGACCAGCGAGGAAAAAGTCTAGCACAACGTCTACACCAAACCCAATAATCTGTATATCTAGTAGAATGAAGAGTAATAAAAGACAAAGTCAGGAGTGGAGACATTACCCTGATCCTGTCATTGAGGATGCGTTCCTCTGGATCCTCATCATACTCTCTCTGTGGGTAAACATGTATCCCATTGGCTGCTAAGTCTTGCCTTATCTGTTGAAGGGTCAAAGGTTAAACACAGGTCAAACGAGTCAGGTTAACTGGTTAACACTGAAGGTGATATGTTAAGGCAGGAGACATGAGATTGAGCATGGCCATGACGACAGGTGCTGTAATGAACCTTAACTTAAGCAAGAAAACAGATTTTGCAATCCAATCAGAACATCATCTGCAGGACACTAAGGTGATCTATAGAAAACAAGCGTTAGTTGTTTGTGTGTGTGTGTGTGTGTGTGTGTGTGTGTGTGTGTGTGTGTGTGTGAGTGTTCCCTCACCCTCTCTTTAAACTCCTGTCTTTCCTCAATGGTGAGCGTGTCAGCTTTGGCGATGACAGGTACGATGCTCACTATCTTTCCCAACCTCTTCATGAACTCAACATCGATTGGGCGTAACCTAGAGACACATACAGATGGACAATGGAGGTCTATGGAGCAAGAATGTAACACTGTTAAAATGTTAAAAGTGCATGAAATAACATCCCAGCCAAGCTGAAACCCAAGAAAAACAAACTCTGTATTTTTAGCCATGTTGCAGCAAGACTCTGTGATGTTCCACTACTTTGTTCCAGACTGAAATATCGCAACATGAAATTTGGTACAGGCAACCATGGTCTCCAGACAATAAATTCCAGTGACCCCATGCTTTTTACTTTTGCACCAGTATGACGGTTTGTGTTGAATGACTCAACAAATATTGGATGGATTGCCATGAATTTTGGTTCAGCCACCATCAACCGTACTTTGTGTTTAATGCTCATGCTAAGATGGTGAACAAATTGTAAACATTATACCTGCTAAACATCACAGTGTAAGATTGTGGATTCATCGTTCTGTGTTCAGGGTTTAGCTGCACCTACGGCAACTACGTGCATAGGCTCTGAGGTCACGCCATAGCTGACCTGCTACATGTAATGCCAGTGTAGAAGACAGCATGAATGAGGCATTAAATAGCACTCTTCCTTTTCACTAAGAATTTGTCTATTGAATGTGTTGTGGTGATGCTAGTTTAATTCAACATGGTTTTGTCAATGAAATATGTGACTGAGACTATAAAGCCCAACATGCCTTTTAGGAAAGAAACCAAAATAAATCAGTGAGCCCTGTGTTAGTGCAAAGCTGAATCCAGGAGTGACTGAATACTGACCTGTGTCCAGTGGCAGGGAGAAAGTAGATGCAGCAGTGGACTCTGCTGTCTGGTATTCTCCTCTTGCGGTTGATATGCAGCTCCTCTCTCAGGTATTTCTCATACTGTTCATTGATGTGCTTCTCTATGGGCTCCCAGCTGGAAAGACGAGCAGTGGAGTCAGTCAGTGGCAGTGATAGTGGCAGTGACAGTGACAGTGGCAGTGATAACCAATCCCATGACCAAAACTGGCAATCTGCATATTAATCTGTTCTTACATTAATAATATAAATTAATAACCCTGTTGCCCCAAACCCATTAGTTCCTGCTGAAGACAGAAATGTTAACAAACAACTCAAAAATATATAGTGCCATTTTAACAAAGGCTCCATCATTTTTAACAGTGGACACACTGGTGCTCTAAAGACTATTTGGGACTAACTCAATACTGTCTACAGAGTGTGTTTGTCCATGGTCATGAGGGAAGATGTCACCCAATGTAATAGTGTGGCCCAGTTTTCATTCAGCACTCCAGCACACTGGATTTCGTATGAAATGCTGACTTTGAGGTTTAAGTGCTTCCTTTCAGCTCTGAGGCTGTTTGAGACACAGGACTTACAACCATATTAGGTGAAGAGAATAAGACTGTGCTGAGGACAGGGCAGGACTATAATCCATAACAAACAGACAAGACAACCAAAGAGACATGTAGCAAAGTCCTCAATCCAACTGACCACGTGCTCTACTGCTGCAGACCAGACTACAGGCAAAAAGCCTCAGAAACAAGCAGGAAATTAAGCAGGAAAAACCTGACAGGCCCTGTTGTGTCTGCGTTGTGTTGTCATTACTGAGGTTACTTGGCACATGACTATAAGAGGCAGAGGTGTGGACTCGAGTCACATGACTTGAGTTGACAAAATCAAAAAAGACTTGCAACTCAACTTGGACTTTAACACCAATGACTCGTGATTTGAGCCATTTGACATGAAAATACTTGATACCTTCCCCAAAGCCCAAAGATAAACAAGTATGATATGTAAAAAGTGTGTCACAAATCTATTCTTTTTTCCTTAATTTCATGAACAAATGCTGATGTTTTGATTCTCAGCAACCACTGTGTTTGAACCAGCATCCAATCCAAATCTTTCTCACTCTGAAGCGATCTAATACAGCCACTTGGTCAGTGATTTTGGTGTCAGACACTGATGAAAATTGACATCTTTTTACAATGGTGTGATACACCACCAGGTGGCGTGAATTTGAGGCACCACTGGACAACAATATAATTTAAGGAGCTGGAGAGTCCCTATAGAGTGGCCAGGAAGGGTGGTGCACAGGTCAAACTACCGCTGACTTTCACCCTGAATCCTGGTGTTCGCTTCTCGTATGAATGAAGAGCCAAATCATAGTGTTTTCAAGAAGTTACTTTAGCTTTATTTAAGGACAACAGTAATGTATAAAAGAGAAAATGCAGCTCTGAAATGTAGCAGACTCTTTTTCTGCGGAGGTCTGGATAAAAGTAAGGATAGTAAAACTGGGAATAAGTGATGTGACTGACGCCAGCGCCACACCAAGGCATGAGACGCCCGAGTTGCCCCTCGTCCCATATTGAAAAATAAAATGTACTGTCCCTTACTGATTCAGTACGGGATGCAGTTTGTCCCGTATTTCTGTGGAAAGAGTTTAATATTACTGGAGAAATATTAAATCAAGAGGAGAATGTCACAAAATGGCAGGTCTGTCACTCAGCGTCATTGTTGCCATAATTATGGAGACTCTGCTCAGGACTACTGTTAGCCCGCTCACTGACCTGCTGGCTGCTCGATTAAGTTATCTGAAGGTCCCTTTATGCCCGGATATTAAACTTATGGAGCTTATGGATTCATAAAGCCTCACATGCACTTATATCTCAGTCATTGTGGAGCTGGGCGCACATGCACGAGCTCTGTTTACTCTCACACAGTGAGACACAAATTGATGCAGAAACACCCTCATTAGATCTGTCAGTTAAAAATACGGCAGAGAAGAAGTGCAGTTTTATAGACTGTCTCTCACCAACGTGGTTCTCCGACAAAACAGCTGTCGTTACACGTGACCATTACGCACGGCTGTGGCTATTAATAGCGCCCTTGCCACTAACTCATCACGTGTAGCCCTACCTGCAAACCATCATGGCACTAATGTTTCAATCTTCATTACAACATGTCAGACAGATTATTGACGATTAATTTATAACTCTACAGCAGAAGTAACGTAAGTGGGTTGTCTAACAGAAGTAAACATTTACGAGAAACTCAGTGCGCCATATAGTTGCACTGGATTTAATGAAGCCCCTTTTTAGTAATCGAATTATTCGAGTTACTCAAGGAATCGTTTCAGCCCTACCAAATCATGATGTTTTTTTCTAATCATGACCATGTGCTTTTGTTGCACAAGGAAATAAATGTAAATGCAAGGTTTTACCAAAGTTGTAAGTGTATTTTGAAAAAAGACTGGATGCATACGCATAATTTGACACACTGTCCCTGAAAATCAACATGAAATGCACCCAGGATACCTTGCGTGTCATATATAGATGTCAAAGTTCACTGACCAAATGACAATAGAGTGTCTCAGGGTTGACATGTTTTTGTAGGCTGGCATGGAAGTTAGCATCGTCCTGGTTCCCTCAAAAAACCCTGTGGGATTTTTCCATTGGATTTTGAATTATTGCTGAAAGTAAGCTCTGTGGCAAACTAACATTAATGATACTGGCACATTTTGTTCAGCAAGAAAATCTTCACAAATTAAGACCATTTTTTCATTGAAGCCTAAATGCAAACGTTGTGGCTATCAACAAACTACGTACGGTTACTTAAGTCTCTTAAGCTTGCGTTAACCGCAGACCATATTTCAGGCATCTAACCAAAAAACCATTAAAAAAACACTGACTATGGAACGAGGGAACCGGGAGTGGTAAAATGCCAACTCATCTCTGGGTTTTGGGACTCATTCCTGGTACACTGTATATGTGACGATTTGGGAATGAGAACACATGCTATCAAGTTGCATGAAAAAAACATAAAAACCTAATATAATGTTACTAAGCGCCAGCTGAAAAAATTATTCCAAAAATAATTTTGTTTGCATACAAAAACCTCCCGGCACTCGACAATAAACAAGTATGCAAAATGTGTGGGTGAAGAAGACCAAAGACGCAACAACGTCCAGCTTTGATCAACATTTGTAGTGGCACAAAGAACACTAAGTCAAGAGTAATATTTACATAGTTGGCAAGCTAATGTTAGCTTAATAGCTAAACAACTTTTAACAAATAAACACAAATCTTACAATCAAAATTAAAATTTCAAATGAAATATATTATTACTCTGATATTAAAATGTCATTATATTTGGTCAAGAGCACATTATGACTTCTTCTGGACTCCAAACTTTAAGTGTAGGACTTGAGTACAAAGACCTGAGTAAGGTTACTTGTAACTTGCAAAACAATGACTAGGTCCCACATCTAATGTTGGGGTTTAAGACAAACTTTCTGGTTTGGATTACAGTAACTGAACTCAATTATTTGCAAATGCTGTTGTAGCCAGATTTAGACAGCACCATCTTCTTCTTTGTCTCCGTCCATCTGTCCATTCTTGTATCCACATTCAAACCACTCACCAGTTCTCGTTGTTAATCTGGTCTCCAAATCCTGGAGTGTCAATCACTGTCAGCTTCATCTTCACTCCCTTCTCCTCAATCACTAGACAGAGGGGGACAGAGGCGGTTACATGTGCAGTAGTTATAATTTACAATATTAAAAGGGAAACTAAATAAGGCAGGCTTCCAATGAAAACAAAGCAGAGACACATTACATACACCGATTTTAACTAAGCTGGTCCTTTTCAATCATGTGCCAGTGTCCTTCACCAATCACATTACATTGTTGAGCAGTAGCAGATGATGTGTACTGAGGGGAGTAGAACCAAACTGGTTTACCAGCATTATCTTGCAGGTTCAGCTGGTCAGGCATATACTGTGGAAAAATAGAGGGGTGAACTGCCCCTTTAAAGTTTGGGGCCCAGCAGCAGTTTAAGGCTTAGTTGTTCAATGGTGTTCATTATGTCTTCAGTTTCTGATAATCCCTTTAGTTGTTCTTCTATCTCAGACATGTATTAGGGTGTTACATACCTTGACATGTTTAGGCTGAAACTTCCGCCTTCATCAGAAGTGTCACTTTGTGGCGGTTGTTTATCAGCTGAGCTGTCAATCAGTTGATGTCAGGGAGGCATGACGGTCACGCCTCCCTGACATCAACTGATTGACAGATCAGCTGATAAAGATGTGTCACAAACACCACCAAATGACACCTCTGGGGAAGGCGAAACACCCTAATACTTGTCTGAGGTAAAAGAACAACTAAAGTGATTATAAGTTTAAGGCTTAGTTTGGCGAAAGGATGAGGGTTAGGATTGGCCATGGTTATGGTAAACTGTTAAAAACATTTTAAAACAAACATGTGATGATGAGATCAAAGTGATACCTTCACTGAGTCAATGTAATGCTCGCGTGTGTGGCGACATGCAGATGTTTGAGAAAAGCTGAGCAGCAGAGTAAAGACTATCATTTGAGTCCATTTCCATTGTTGAGTAAGCACTCAGGAATCACATCTGAGTGCAAGCATGAGAGCAAACATCTGGAACCTGATCATTAAGATTTTAACCTGCAATAAAGTAACACTTTGTGGCTGCCTCTACCAGTCAGCCTGTCAACAAAACAGTATCATAACTGGTTTCACTGGTTCACACAACTTTTACTAGAGAGGAAGAATTAACTAAAAAAAACAAAACAAAACAAAAAAAAACAAGACATTGCATGCACTACAAACTTGTGAGTGCTGAATGCTGGTTATCTTGACTTGAACACAGTTGTTTGCTGTATGTAACAGCTGAATTCTGCATACGGTGGAAGTGAACTGGGCTTTCATCCATGATATAACTCAAACTAATTAATTGGCCTTACATGTCATCATCAACTTATGTACAGTGAGCAATAGTGAGCATTTTGATTCATGAATTTTGTTGTGATACTGAGTCATAAATACAATGGGACTAAATGGGCCTTCATAGGCTTTGATCCACTATAGCCCCTTTTACACTGCTAGATTTTCGGCGAATGTTGGACCGTTTTGCAGGCAAGCTGCGAGCGTTTAGACACACAGAGCCGAATTGGCGAGTTGATCTGAGGTGCCCAATTTTCCGCCTCGTAGGTTAGTCATATTGGTGGAACCTTTTTGGTTTAAAAAAAATAAGGCGCCCTTCCGCAACGGGAGGGGCTGTTGATGACTTGTGGGAGGAGCTGTTGATGACGCCGCACGTGCGACCCACCGGCGGTGGACTAACAGGAAACAGCTGATAGCAGGAATGAGCAGCTAGTAGCAAGAGGGAAACGCAAACCTGACAGACACTGGAAAGATGAGCAACTGGGGAGACAAGGAATTGCGCGCCCTCCTTGCCCTCACAAACAAGGAGGCCATTAACCGTCAAATGACAGGAATGGTGAAGGATGTGCCGACTTACGAGAGAATCGCCGAAGGACTGACGGCTTCCCTCGGAGCAAGGCGCAAGTCATTAGTAAGTTATAGAATGTGAAGAAAAAGTTTTTTATGTTTTGTTACTTGCTCATGCCCCCCATTGCCCCAAAAAAGGCGCATTCTATAAACAAAAGTAGGTAGGCGGCATTTTGCTGCACTCCCCGATTTTGTTTTTATACTGCCAATGCTGAAAAAAGACTGATTGAGCCTTCCTGCAAATTTGCACAATTCCTATTTAAAAAGGGCTTATAACTCAGAATAACTCAAAAACTCTCCAGTTTGTATTATATACAGGTGTTACACTATAACTACAATGGGGATGGTTAGACAATAATGGAATTCATATCACTCAGACCAATGGCTGAAGGTAGTTAAAACAGGCCCTAGTACACGCTATTATGACGGGCCCTAAGGCACATTTATAGTTTATAGTTTATTTATAGTTTATGAGAGTAGGCATATATTTTACAACATATATTCTCATAGATTGCAACTGGCTATTTTACAAAAAAAGAACAAGAAAACATGCTGGAGATGGGTTTGCCTTTTCAAAGGCACATGTAGCAAATGGCAAATGGAGTTTTTCTTTGAACACATGGTATATTACTTAGAGCCTGTTTCCTGCCCAACATAAATTTGGAGGGTCCATTCTTTCTGTGGGCCCCACCATCCCATTGGCCTCAGTGCAACCGCCCTGCCTACACTGCCTTTATTTACGCTCCTGACGAAGACCCCTTCACTCTTCACTCTTTTGTTAAGTTGCAGACTTACTGTAAAAATGTTTGAATTATTTTCTTCCTCATCAATTTACACTCAATACTTTATAATAACAAAACCAAAACAGAATTTAAGATTGTTTGCAAACTTGTGAAAAAAGCAAACAAACTGAAATGTCACATTGACATAATTATTTACATTCTTAAAGGGATAGTTCAGGTTTTCTGGTTGTGTGGGGTCCTTATCTATAGTCAGTGTATTACATACAGTAGATGTCAGACAGCTGGTTCATACAGGGAAGCTGTTAACGGCTTCAGTTCCCCATCTATGTTCTCATCAGAGCCACCAGACAACCTGTAAATTTTTGTTATTGTGTGACTTTGGTGAATTATCCTTTTAAACTTAAGTCACACAATAACACAAATTAACTGATCAAGGCAGCAGTAGATCAACAGCTGGCTTTGCAGAAAGTGATATAACAGCTTCATTTCCCCCATCAGAAATCACAGTCTGGTGGTAAGATAAAGCACTGAAAAATATTCTAAATATCGAGTATACATAAAATGAAATTATTTTTTTCAGGTGGGATCTTTTTAGGTTGCTAAAATATGTTTTGTTGCTGACCCCATCCACAGCAGTACATTGCTTAGCTTCCATGCAGGACTCCACGACTCATCTGTCGTGTAACTATTTGTGTTCGGGGACTTTTTTCAGTCAGTGTTTTCAGTGCACTGTAGAGTCTCAGATTTTATTTGACACTGAAATTCAGCCCACAATGCAGGGGGACAGTAAAGCCCTAGAGATGATCTCTCTCTCTGTCTTTGTCTCTCTCTTTCTCTAACACTCTCTCACACACACACACACACACACACACACACACACCTTTTTACTAGGTTTCTAATGGGCTTTACAGTTGCTGGAGGGGTCACAACTGTTTTTCACTTCCCTGATTCTACTGGATTTATAGGCAGTGAGGTCAGCATGGCCTCAGACTGAGTTTTGGGAAATGTTGAGGAATTAGTAACTGTAGATGTCGAACTCCAGGTTTGAAGCTTCTGGGAAGTTTGAGCCATAAGGATTTTTACAGAGACAAGAGGTGGTAGCCAGAGGCCATTAGGCTGTAAATGCCTCTCAGTTTGTCTCTGAGACAGTGGTAGTAAATGTGAAGACTCGAGAACATTTAATTGCCGTTACTTACAAATAAATGAAAATAACCATATACTGTACAAACTAAAGCAGAATGAGCACATAGTGTTTGTCCTGTAATAAAGAGCTAAATGTCAGCTCTCAGGACACACACATAAAAATAGAGACACAGATCTGAGGGACAGTTTCATTCTGACAGCCCTGTCATGTGGAGGCGAGCCTCACTTCCTTATCTCTTCATCGCGCCACTTTAATTTCATGAACACGCTCCATGCACTTTGGTCCAGAGCAAGCATGTATCATGATGATTTGGGAGACCACTTTGACCTTTTGTCTGTTGCCCACACTGAGGTCTGAATTCCCCACTGAACACATCTAAAAAACTAATGTCTAATGGAACAGCTCTGTGACCAACCCTTTCTCTAGCTTCACAATCGAGTCACTATTTCTACTTGTACACAGGAAATATCGCAATCTAACACACACACACTGACTTAACTTTGCTGTGCACATCTGCTCCACAGAAGATGATTTAAGCCTGTCACAATAACTTCTTTTGCTAGACTTTATATTGTCCTAGAAATAATTGCAATTACCAATATTATTGTTATTTTGAGACTTTTTTTGTCACTGATATAAAATATAACAGCAAAATAATACAAGTACACCCTCTCAAATAAGAATATTTGTCATATATGAATTGGAATGATGGGTGGGGGAAAGATCTGCACAGCACAGTATTCAAATATTTTTGTATAGCAATATCGTATTGTTACTCAGACACCATGTATTGATTTTATTATTATATAAAATATTACTATTACAAGAAAAATTTGACTTTTGGTAGCCTACTAGAAAAATATTATCACTTGCTTTTTCTGTACACAAGATAAATTTCGCTATAATAAAAATGACTGAAGTGCACTGAACAGACTGAAAACTTGATATTATTAGATAATACAAAGTCTTCCTTTTGGGACATAATTTGCAGTTGAAAAAAGGTAATAAATCGTACTAGCAAAGTGTACCTAATAAAGTGGCCAGTATACTTATAATTATTTATTTTTTGGAAGTAGCCCAATAATAATCAGTTTAAGACTTGATAAAAAATTGTAGAAACTGGGATAGCGCTGGTGACTAATAGACAAGCTTTGCAAAGCTCTGGGAACACAGCAGTTACCTCCATAATCCGACCATGTGCTGCAGTTGGCTCCCAGGGATGGACGACCTATGAGCTAGGCTGTTTGCTGGTGGATTTAGTGTGGTGGAGGATAAAGTTGTAAAAGGGCAAAACTACTACGGACAGACGTTTTGGGTTGCTGCCAGGGGATGGCAACTAACAACTATTGGGACAGTGCTTCTTCCACTCCAAAAGTGCAGCTGCAGGCTGCCGGTAAGCTACACTGTACGTCTTTGAAGTTTTGTTTTATTTTTCTTCGGACTTGCACAAGTAGGCAAGTAGTCCCTGTGCCCAAGTCTTAAAATGGTGGGGAAAACTCTGCTGTTCATTCTGGTATCATGTTGGCTACAATGTTGGTGATATTCTTTTGTGAATAAACACACATGTAAACACAATTTCGAGGTCAGCAAAATGATCGAGGTCATGTCCATATATTGTACAATAATTAAAGAACATAATTGTCATAATGGGCCCAGGATGATTTGATTTGATTTGATTAACGACATGACTATTCAAGAAAGCAAAATCATCAATATTTCCTTTTTTCTGTTCATTAACATGGGATGTACGTCACTGGCTGGACCTAACTGTTTATTTAACTCCTTACAATAAGTGTCTCCTGTGTTTTCAGTCATTCCACCACAGAATTAATTAGAAATTTTAAAATCAGTCTTTATCTGTATAATCATGGTTGTAACAAATACATCACCCTGACATGCTCAGTAACACTTTGGAGCGTAAAAATAAAATGGAGGATGTTGATGTGGGTTTGCTTCTGAGTCATGACCATATTTAGGCTTTTTGCTGCAATGCTGTGCTCTTCAACAGCATACTCTGATGGTTACATTTATACCTGGCCAGAGTTCTCCTCAGCAGTTTTTTCATGTTTTTGGTTTCAGAGTGTGCAGAGTGTAAATGTGACAAGCATTAAGAGATTCGTGTGAGAGTGCAGGAGGAGATGTTTATGGAGGATGTCATGGTCAGCAGCAGCCTCACATTTTTGGAGTCGCAGACAGAAAAAAGCAGTCTTCGAACAAAGGGAGACAGACTGTGTGTGTGTGTGTTTCTGTGTTTGTGTGAAAGATAAATTATGTTTTATATATTTGGCCTGGGGTTTTCTTTTCAAGCAAAGTGCGCGCGCGCACACACACACACACACACACACACACACACACACACACACACAAACTACCAGTTTTTACTTGTGAGAATTTTGCCTCAAGTAGTTGATGACATGTCACCTACTGCTGGCAGCTTTCATTTGTGGTTTTCACCACCTTCATAAATGACTTTCTCTTCTAGAGTACCAGAAGATCTGATGTAAGGCCGCTTAAAAAACACAGTTGTCATAACCAGCCTGTTTTGATTGGATGTGGTGAAGAAGAAAAAGGACATTAATCACCAATGCTGTATCCATTTCTCTTTATACATCCATGATATCAATGGTGATGTGCATTAGCATCCACCAGGACTCCTGCAGCACCTACTACATGTAGCTTTTGACACATAACAGTACTTCATCACACTGATATACAGATCCTGTAACTATCTACTATTACCATGCATCAGTCCTGCTCACAACCATATTACAATGCCTATAATAACCTATTACAACTGGAGATATTGAAGTGATAGTTACCACAGCTAGGGAGGTCAACCATTGATTGGTTAACCACTGAGAATATTTTTGACTGATTACACTTGTCGGTCTACAGGTTATTTTGCTTCTCTTCAGTTTATTGTACTGCGTACTACCTCGGTCTGGTAGGAGCTACCTAACATTAGCAGCGCTTGTCATTCAGCCATTACTGCTGGTAACACCGTCCCGACCCAACAGCATTGCTGTGGAAACACTGTCCCCACCCTCCGGTCTCCCCCCATTGTGTCCCGGTGAGTATGCAGCTCAAGTTTGAGCTGGAAAACCCCTTTAGCATTGTTGAATATAGCCCCATTTCTACCTAACACTTTCGGTGTGGTGCCTTTTGGAACCAAAAGTAACCCTTCAGAAATGGCCCAGACCCTCCGTCTATATAACGTTTCCACCGCAAACTTAAATGTGGGAAAGGTTGTTGTCACTCACTGCTCCGTCTACCTCATTTATCGTCCACAAAACTGGGCTGCACAACGACATTTTCAGAACAAAATAGAACAGGCTGCAATGAGAGTCTCTCTCCAAGATTCTCTCTCCATGGGATATTTAAAAATAGCAGGTGTGTGCATTCAGTCCTTCTCAGGCAAGCGCAGGGGTTTAGTGTTGCTGTAGCCCACAGGAACAATTCTCTATGACACTTTTTTTTCTCCAAGTAAGAATTAGAATTTATTCATATAATCCAGTCAAAATTAATATAGGTGTTAAATATGTTTCAGCATAATGCTAAAAATATACTGTGTGAGAGCTTATTTCTACAGAAGAAACCTTCCCTATCAATGCGATACAACACAAGACAATGTGGGAGGACTGACCCTCTGTGTTATCTACCTGTGTTTGGTAGTCCACATGGGATATGCTCAATGTCAAAGAAATCTATTCTGAATTCATCTGAGAACAGAAAGCCTAAAACTAGAAATTGTTTTTTTGTAAGCCCAAGCTGAGATTCCTGGTCATGAGACAAGAACTGAAAGGAAAAGTGATGTGAAAGAAGGATGTGAGTGCCGTCTACTATTATATCATCAGTCATAGCCTCTTCAGACTGGCCTGAACAAATGTAATCAGTAGTAGCAGAAAGAGGAAGACAGAAAGTACTGAAAACCATACTGACAGACAAGGAGGTCTCGTCATGCCTTCAGGATTCTCAGGAATCATAACACATTCCCTGTGTGTGTGTGCGTGTGTGTGTGTGTGACTCACCATGACTGATTGATTGCAGTTTGACTGTTTTGGAGATCTTCTCTTCGTAGTTGGGTGTACAGGACTTGCGGCTGACTTTGGACTTGAACAGAGTGTTAACCAGAGTGGATTTCCCTAAACCACTCTGACCTGCAGACACAAAGAGACAATGCTTTTAACCTTTCTAAAAGTGTGTGTAGGAGTGTGTTGTATTTGTTTCTGTCATGTCTCCTGTGTGGAATAAAAACCCTTATGAAGCTCTCAGCTTCTGTGCAAGTTGTCAGCTCCAGCAAACCAGAGTGTCAATGTTGGGTTAGTAGCTAAGAGACAGCACATCTCCCCAAAACCCCCTTGTTTTATTTAACACAAATACAACAAATTTCATTTTATGGCCAGCAGAAAGACTCAATTAGCTTGGCATTGCTGAAGTTAACCAGCCAGAGCGACAACATATGTAACATAGTGCTAAGCTTTGGGCAAATGTAAACAGACTACAGCATGCAAAGATGAGCAGTGATGGTGTAGCAACAACACATCTTTGAACTAAGTGGCAACCTCCATGGCTAAAAAATTAAACCAATGTGGAAGTGCCAAAAACTGCAACAGTATTAGTTAATGTAATCATGACATAATCTCAGATTCCCAGAGTATAGGCATATTCATAGCTGTAGCTATTTCAGTGTGTTTTTTAGCTCACTGAATTTAATTGTAACATTTTGGTCACCTAAAAAAGTCTTGTTCAGTGTTTGGTTGAACTAAAAGACCCATTAAGGAGTCTGATATTTATAGTACAATGTGTTTATAATGATTTAAGCCTGTTTTCCACTAGTGAAAATTCGCATTTTCACAGTTAACCATAGCTGTAAATGCACCCCGCTAACGAAGCTAGCAGTTAGCCACCCTCTCATCCATATATGGTAATTCTGGTTCCAAAAACCCGAGATGGTAACAGCCAAAATGCCAAACTTGAGGCTTCAAAGCAGAAGTCCACAAACCAACAGGTGATGTCACAGTGGCTTCCTCCATTATTTTATACAGTCTATGCTGTGAACGAGTGTTGCTGTTTTCACCATAGCAATTTGAACACTTCAACAAAAAGTTCCACATCCATTGCAGCCATCTTGGTGTTCAAAAATGCCTCAGTGGGGCTCCTCTTTAGCCTTCTAATCTAGGTTTATGCTTAGTATAGTGTTTCTGGAGTAAGGGTGCGCAAGCTAAAATGACATAATCTTGTATGTTGCCCTAAGTGCTAAGGCACTGCAAGTGGCCAATCATCATATCAAACCTGCCTCATATTAAATTAACAGTTGTGGTTTTCCAGGACAGGTCAGCTGGAAAGGGGAACAGATACATCCACCAGAGCTGATAAAACATGAGCTTGCAGATTTGTCTGGTTCCCAGCTTAAAACCTAATATGTATTACATTTCCCCCAGATAAAGCTATTGTCCCACGTAAGGCTGGGTACAATTTTAAGTATTTTGATACTTTTAACAGAATTTCAGTACTGGTGCTAAAACCTTTTTTTCTAAATAGAAATACTTTCCTAGTTTCAAAATGTTACAGCTGCTACTCCTATGTGAGCTCACTGGCTAAAATGGCAAATTGTTGTTTTTTTCAAGTTTGACAGATTTGTGTTGCATGCTATGTCTTCTCATTCTTGCATATTCTCAGTTGGATATATTATTTACATATTGTTTAAGATGAGGAGTAGGCAACGTGGGCCTCCGGAGCCACATGTGGCTCTTAAGCCCCTCTCCAGTAGCTCCCTGTGGCTTTGACAAAGAAAATTTTATGAAAATGACTACTGTTTTTTTTTAACATTCTAATTTTCATTTGTCAATGTTGAAGGCCTAAAGAAAATCTTACATTCTCCAACTGTAAAAATGTGAAGCCTACAGTGCCCTCCAAAAGTATTGGAACAGTGAGGCCAATTCCTTTATTTTTGTTGTAGACTGAAAAAATTTGGGTTTGACATCAAAAGATGAATATGGGACAAGAGATCAACATTTCAGCTTTTATTTCCAGGTATTTACATCTAGATCTGATACACAACTTAGAAGATAGCACCTTTTGTTTGAACCCACCCATTTTTCATGAGAGCAAAAGTATTGGAACATGTGACTGACAGGTGTGTTTTGTTGCCCAGGTGTCTCCCATTTACATTGATTATTCAGACAATAAATAGCACTGAATGTCTGAGCTCAGTTTCAGATTGGGTACGATAGGTTTTGCCTGTGCAGACTGCATTTAGATGTGGAACCAACATGAAAACCAGAGAGCTGTCTATGGGTGAAAAAGAAGCAATTGTGAATCTGAGAGAAGATGGACAATCAATTAGAGCCATTGCACAAACATTGGCCATAGCCAGTACAACCATTTGGAATGTCCTGAAGAAGAAAGAAACCACTGGTGTACTAAGCAACAGACGTCGAACAGGTAGACCAAGGAAAACATCAGCAGTTGATGACAGAAACATTGTGAGAGCTGTAAAGAAAGACCCTAAAACAACTGTTAGTGACATCAGCAACAACCTCCAGAGGGCAGGAGTGAAGGTATCACAATCTACTGTTCGCACAAAACTTCATGAACAAAAGTACAGAGGCTACACCAGATGATGCAAACCACTCATTAGCAAGAACAATAGAAAGGCCAGGCTGGAATTTGCCAAAAGGTACAGAGATGAGCCTCAAAAATTCTGGGAAAAAGTTTTATGGACTGATGAGACAAAGATTAACGTTTTCCAAAGTGATGGAAAGGCGAAAGTTTGGAGAAAGAAAGGATCTGCTCATGATCCCAAACATACAAGCTCATCTGTGAAACACGGTGGAGGTAATGTCATGGCTTGGGCTTGCATGGCTTCTTCTGGGACGGGCTCTTTCATCTTCATTGATGATGTAACACATGATGGCAGCAGCAAAATGAACTCAGAAGTCTACAGAAACATTTTGTCTGCTAATTTAAAGAAAGATGCAACCAAACTGATTGGGAGATCCTTCATCATGCAGCAAGACAACGACCCAAAACAACAAAGGAGTACATCAGGGGCAAGAAGTGGAAGGTTTTAGACTGGCCAAGTCAGTCTCCAGACTTAAACCCAATAGAGCATGCATTTTACCTGCTGAAGAGGAGACTGAAGGGAGTAACCCCCCAAAACAAACAACAACTGAAAGAGGCTGCGGTGAAAGCCTGGAAAAGCATCACAAAAGAAGAATGCAAAAGTTTGGTGATGTCAGTGGGTCACAGGCTTGATGCAGTTATTGAAAGCAAAGGATTTGCAACTACATATTAAGTCTCATTCACTTTAATCTATTTTAAGTTTATATGTTCCAATACTTTTGCTCACCTAAAAATTTTGTGTTCCATTACAAATAATGCTATCTTCTAAGTTGTGTATCAGATCCAGATGTAAATACCTGGAAATAAAAGCTGAAATGTTGATCTCTTGTCTCATATTCATCTTTTGATGTCAAACCCAAATGTTTTCAGTCTACAACAAAAGTAAACGAATTGGACTCACTGTTCCAATACTTTTGGAGGGCACTGTATATACCAAATAAAACTTTGTTTTTACATTTCAACAACTAAATGTGTGCATTACACCTACTGCACCTTTTGAAATAAAACTGAGAATTTAGTAGTGCGTGCACAGATTTGTTTGCTTTCACTGCCAGCTCTGCATATTATGTTAATTGAATGTTAATCTAGACTATTAGTATATGCTAATTTAGACCTAATAGGCTATGTTACCTTCATTATAAGGCTTAAATTTTTGTTTGCCGACCCCTGGTTTAGGAGAATCACATAAGGAATGGTGTGAAATTGAAGAAATGTATACAAACAAAGTAAACCGTTAGCACACTTTAATTATGCATAATTATCAAGAGGAAACTTCCTGTTTTCAATCTAACAACAGAGGAAGTGTGTATCATCTGTGTGTGTGTGACAGGAAAGAGCAGACAGCCTGAACTTTCGAAACCACTTCCTATTCAAAGAATCATACTTCCTCTTCCAATACGAAAAGCAAACTACATTTTCTCAAAGAGGAAGAGACCCAGCAACCCCATCTCATCACATACACACACACACACACACACACACATACACACACACACACACACAGAGTTTTCTAACACATTGTAACTGTAGATCAGCAATTTCTTCTCAGTAAAAAAGGGAAAACACAAGGAGCTGTTAGTAAACCCTGTGACATTTCAGTGACCTAATGGACACCATGTGTCTTGCAATCGGTTAAACTGCAAGCCTGCCATGGTGGTTAGCTTTGCTGAGTGGCTCAGAAGAACCTGATCTCTCTGTGGAGCTCTGTGATTGGCCAGTGCACAGCAGGGTGGCTGGTTTATATCACCAAGGTTTTTAGTAGTTGGCCAACCAGGAGTTACACATATTAGCGAATGCACAAACACATACACTAATGTCCTGCACGACCTTGCCTGAGACCCACACCAATATCACTTTAAGCTCTCTCTGATACACACACACACACACACACACACACACACACACACACACACTGTTATCTAGCCACCTTATCTAAACTCTATACCACATTCATGAACGCTGCGGGAAACTCCTGGAAGGAGGTAACAGATGCTGTTAACTCTGTGTCCTCTGTTGTAAGCACCATCCAAAAAGTTAAATAAAAATGGTTTAATATGAAACTTGATGCAAAAGACACATAAGCACAAATTAAAAAAACTCCACAACAGCTACATGAGGAGGCTCTTCCCAGCCACAGATGTCTGCTGCAGATGAGCACATTGCTTGAATCATTGGAGAGACCTCTCTGTCAGGAATTATTTCTGACGGAGACAGCACCATGCCTCCACTAGAGGAGTCAACAGCAAACTAAGAAAGTAAGGTGAATAATGTGTGATATAAAGTGTTAAATCAATATACATTCTAACAGCATTCACTGACAGCTTAGTGTTTGGTCAGTAACATGGGTCTCACAGTCTCGCCACTCAAACAGAAGATACATTTGTGGAGTTCTCTCTCCTGATTGAATCAAGTGGAAACTGGATGCCTTAAATTCTATGAATGCTGAAATAAATGTAAATTTCCTTCTGTGAACAGTTTACACACAAACTCCTTCTGCACAGGTTTCATGAATGAGACCCAGTGTGTGCAGAAG